TGACGTGTTTTTGGCTGAATATCAACTAATAATATTAGGGGGTTCTTCATGTACCCACGATAAATGAGGGGTTTTGGTACTGTAGCTAATGTGTATCTGATGTGTATGTATACATCATTTAAATGCCATGTCAACCTTTTAAATAAAAATTATTTTATATTTAAATTTTTACATTATTTATTTTTAAGTTTTTATTAATATTTTTATAATTATACGATCTCCTCTCCCCTCCGTCTCCCACCTCTCCCTCGCCCCTTCATATTCGCCTTTGTTCCAAGATCCTCCAGATCCCTTCCTTTCATGTTAATTCCCGAATGTGAGTAGTTTTGCTGGTGATTCTGATTCTGATTCTGATTGGCTCAGCATAACATCATTTGCTTACTTATTGGCATAAGTTATTTTATTTATTAAATAAAAAGTATTAAATACTTTCATATTAAAAGAAATAATAAAGGAATTTATGAAGAAGAGACACACAACATTGTTTCATTTATTTAGTAGCCATAGTGCATGAAAGAGAGGAGAAAGTATTACATGATTATGATTCCAATTAATTTTTAATTATTGTTAAACCGAATAGGTAAAGGTATTACTATTGGGGTTGAAGGGCATCATCCTGTCCTTGAAGAACCTGGACAGAGGAGTGGGCCCACATCATCCTTGCTTAAATTGTTTTGTGTGTTCATTTTGATATTTTAAAAAACATAAAACAAAAATATTAAAATAATGATAAAAATATTGGGAGAAGAAAGAGAGAATGAAAATATAATTAAAAAAATAGTTAAGAATACGAGTGGACTGTCATTTCTCTCGGAAACCGATAATTGTGTTGTTTCACTCCTCTAATTAATCAACACAATAAAAACCAATTTTAGTGTCTCAGCTTTCTCATCACATTTCATTTTTGGTTCCATTTACGTCTCATTCAACATGCCTCAGGGAAGCCTTGAAGTTTTTCTGGTTAATGCCAAGGGTCTTGAGAACACTGATTATCTTTGTAAGTTCTTATTTGCACACACATAATATCAAAGAATCCAATTCCACCATTAATTTTAATCTTTTCTATAAATACACACTATGATCTGATGGAGCAGGTAACATGGACCCTTATGTGATCCTCATATGTCGCACACAGGAGCAAAAAAGCAGCGTTGCATCAGGTACATATAATAATTAATTAATTCATCACAAGATCATACATATAATTGTGTTCAATTCAATATCTGGCTTGGAAACTGAAAATGTTACCGTAATTCCTTTCATTCATTTAAATCATGCAGAACGAATGCATATTTATTTATTATATGAATGAATTCAGGTCAAGGAAGTTCTCCAGAATGGAACGAGAATTTTGTGTTCAACGTGTCTGAAGGTTTTTCCAATCTCATATTGAAGATCATGGACAGTGATTCCACCACGGCTCATGATTTTGTTGGAGAAGCTAAGTGAGTATTAATTTCTCCAGTGCATATTTTTCTTCTTATTTAATTATCACAACTTTGGTTTATATATTATATATAAATATATATAATTTACAGGATTCCACTAGATCCATTGTTTAGTGAAGGAAACATCCCACCTACGTCATACAATGTTGTCAAGGATGACAAATATTGTGGGGAAATTAAAGTTGGCCTCACTTTTAAACGTCAGGTACTGTCTTTTCTTATTTTTATTTCTATCTTCATTATATATACAACTCTCATTTTATACAATCAATCATATATATATATATATGTGTGAGAGAGAGAGTAGAGTAGAGTGTCATCCTCACCCTTAAATAATGACAATAAACAAAAGTTAAAACCAACTAATTACAAATTAACTATGATAAGTTTAAAAAATTTACGGATGATTCAAAACTTATTATTATATAGATTATATGTGATTTTTTTTTATGTTATCTAAAACTATGTAAAATATCATTGAGATGGGTTGAGATTAATGTTATACTCACTTTTAAAATATATTTCCTTACTCTCATTTTAATTGCTACTTTTATGGAATATTTTTGTTATCTAAAATTTTTTGTCAGTCAGCGATATCAAGAAAGTAATTATAATCTCTTTTCTTAACATCCTTCAAGAAATAAATATACCAGTAGGTTTATAATTATAATCACACAAATGTACGGGCAATTTTAGTTTTATTCAATTTGTATGTATTATAACTTTTATATATTAAAAAGTATCATACGTTTAGTTGTTAACTATTACTGTTATGTAAAAAAGTATAATTATGTTAAAGTTTAGCAATTTAACTAGTTCGTAATTAAAAAGTTCTTCTAAATAGATTAAATTTATATTTTTAAATAAAATTTTAAAATTATTTGCTAATTTTTAAATAAATGATTTTAAAGTATAACAAAATTCTGTAAATGAGTAATATAGTAAATGTCTGACTATAAGATTGCCTTACAACAAAAGTTTATCTAATTAAATTTTATTGTGTATAATAATTAATTAATACTATATTAAAATCTTCAACTTCATACCATTGTTTACATTTGAGTCTATAATTTAAGGTTGTTCTTTGGGGTTCTTGATGCAGGATCGCAGTGAACGCAGTTTAGAGGAAAATTTTGGGGGATGGAAGGAGTCTGGTTATAAAATTTGATTGTCTTTGTTTATAGCATTTCGGAGTCTTGAGTATTACTACTGTATCAGTCACTATCTTCATATTAATTCAAGAGAATTTTCACTTTTATAGTCGATTAAGTGCACTTTGGAATTACATCCTTGAATCAAATCCAACACCAAAATCAGGTCAAATAATGTAGAAACTTGAAACCACTCCTTATAGCATTGTTTTTTATGTGACTTTTAAAACTTGCTAACGAATAATTTAAAAAAAAATTTATCTTGATATAAAATTTGTATTCAAATATAACATACATCATAAATAGAAATCATCTGAGATGGAAGAATTTGAATCTTCGAATAGTGGGACCAAAAGCCGTTGCGTTACCGCTTCACCACGCCCCATTTTCAATTTATTACTAATAAACACTATTATTGAAATTGCTTCTTTTTTTTTCTAGTTCTAGTTCAAAAAAGTTTATTGAAAAATTTATCGTGATGAAATACCAAAAAAAACACTACAATTAGAGTAAGATTATAGATTTTTTTTTTTTAAAAATTTGTCTTATTCGCTCTATTACTCTCAAACATGGATAGACATAGATTGGAATTTTAAAATTCCAAATTATATATTTAAAAGGTTTGGATTTAAAATGTAAATATCTATATTTTCTTTCCTAATTAAAAAGAAAGAAATTTTAATATGGTGATCACAAAATTTTTCTTTCTTTGCTTATTTACAAGAAAAAAGAAAACCACATTATTTTCATTCCTTTCTTCTTCCTATTTTCATTTCATCCAAACATAGCACGACTATATTGGAGGCCAGAAATTCATGTCCAAATTATAGTAGGCAGGATCTTTCGGCCATAATTAAAAGCTTGATGTCGTACCTGTATCAACCAATTTCAATATCCATAATATGCTCTTATTCACTTAGAATTATCCAAAATTCCCTTTTATCATATTTTTTTATACCTCATTTCTTTCATTGAAAAAATGATTTTATATAAGTTGCTTGAAACTGAAACTAGTAGGATGAAGTAGATATTTTTTAAAAGTTTAATTACCTTAAATTATAATAATTTTATGAACTTTTTTTTTAACCATTTTAATTAAAAATATTTCAGTTTAGTCTCTATGTATACTTTTTTAATTCTTATAGTTGCATAAACTTTATCTTTTAGTTCTCATATAAATAGACAACAAAAACTAAAAAATTAAAAATAGTATGTATAAGAATTAAAATAAAATGATTTTAACTATAAAGACAAAATAATGAAATTTATGAGATCATAGAACTAAAAGAATAATTAAACTTTTTTTAAATCAAATTCAACAATACAAAAAAAAAAATCTCGCCAATAAGTGCTTGCATTTTTCGTTACAAGGTATTTACTATGTAATTTTGTACAATATGAATAACAGTAGGTATAAAAGGGAACAAAAATGGGAAGTACAAAGACTAAAATTGGATTTTTTTACCATAAAGACTAAAAGGGTAATTAAACCATATTTAAATACAATCATTTTTTTTCATGTTTAGAAATGGTTTAATATTGAGAAATAATCTTTTTTAATAGTTCAACTATGGGCTGGTATAATAATTTTATAAAAAAAATCAAAAGCTCTCGAGAAACAAAAAAGAAATTCTGAAAATAAGCTAAGCTAATTCAAACATAATTGTGAGTTTATGCCTTTTATGAAGGGAAAGAAAATAAGAAATAATAATCTACTTGAACTAAATAATAACTAGAGATACAAACTACATTAGTTAGATAGCATTGTCACAACAACGGTTGGGTTCCTGTACCTCCTTCCTTTGCTTACCTAGATCTTTCTCAACAAACAAAGCAAAACACTAAGCGAGACCTTATGTTCACAATGTATTTACAAATGTCACCGGGAAAATAAAAGGATGCTTAATGACAAACATTTTGCAGTCTACAAAAGTTTAATCGGATACTAATAGCAGTTATCCTGGAGGTAGCAACAAATATTTAACTAGCTTACCTTCTTTGAAAATTATTGTTGCACTGAGAAAAGTGTGTTTGAGGATCAACTCCTGCAAAACCTTGCAGGCTCGTTTTTTCCACCGGTAGGAATGAAGAGCTCATTGATGACTGCTGCCCCGGCATGGACTTAACCCCTGTATCATGGAGAAATGAGAAATCACTATGAGAAAAGCTCGAAGATCCGAAATCTGGCAACATTGAACCACTGTCCCTTCGTTCATTATAGTTAGCAGGCTCCTGGAAACATCCTTGAAGTGTTAAATTTTCCTCAACCGGTATCACGCCTGTAAGAGTCTTAAATGCAAATTCTAAGCATGGGTCTGACCAAGAATTCATAAATGGAGCACAATACTGTAATTCAGAATTGTCATGGTTTACAGTTCCAGGTTGAAATAGTTGCTCTGTTGAAACCAATCCACCCTCTACAACCTGCCCATTTTGCTTTAATGGCTCTTCATGTGATAGTGTGTTTATATTCCTAGAATGATACACAGGTTGTGTTATGTTTCCGGTGTGACAAGGTTCTTCATCCAAATTCCTTATTATATTGCCTTGATCAACACAAGACTCTCTAGTTGTAAACTTAGGAGCAATTTCATAAGAGGTGGGGCCGATCCTCAACTCAGGTTGGCTGACCATATTAAGCTCTTTATTGTTTGGGGATTGTTTTGAGTTATCACAAGCTTCTTGATTAGTGCTTTTAACCGCACTACCATGTGATTTCTTATATGGTGGATTATCAAAGCCGGGAGGGAAAAGTGGCATATTGTCGGCACCAGAATCAACCGGCAAAGCACCAGTGAGAGTCTTGATTGCAAATTCGAGGCATGGATCTGACCAAGAGCCCCCAAATGGTAACGGGAGCCGTTGCTCTGATCTCTCATCACCAATATTTTCTGCTTCAACTTTCTGCAATTGTTTCTTGTGACCAGTTAGGGTATCACGTGACTTCTCACTCTTGTTTGATGATTCTCCCAGTACTTCGGTTTTCAAACTGTCAGAAGCCTGAAGAGCAAGCTTGGTTTCTTCCCCAGCATCAAGATGGTCTGACACTCCATTAGTTGAAGTAGCAGCCACGGTTGGTTCTTCTTTGCATGATTTTCTAGAGGAATATTCAAGAGCTCTTTCAGCCGGCAGCACCTCGGGTTCAAGGCCAGCAAGACGCTTTGATAACCGCATAGGTACTTTGACCTCTTTCTTTCTCTTGGGTTTATTTGATCGTACCTGGGAGTTTCTGTCTCTGCTTCCTGTAACAGTATCAAGCAAATTGTTTTCACTGTCCCTGTTTTTTTCTGTAACATTATCAATTGATGTTTTTTGAACATCAGTTTCAGGGACTGTAGCAGTGCTTCTTCCTGTAACATTGTCAACCAAATTTTTTTGAATATCAGTTTCAGGGACTGTTGCAGTACTTCTTCCTTTAACATTGTCAACCAAAGTTTTTTGAATATCAGTTTCAGGGAGTGTAGCGGTGCTTCTTCCTATAACATCGTCAACCAAAGTTTTTTTAATATCAATTTCAGGGACCATGGCGTTGCTTCTTTCCATAACATTGTCTACCAAATTTTTTTGAATATCAGTTTCAGGGACTGTAGTGACACTTCTTCCCATAACATTGCCAACCAAAGTTTTTTGATTATCAGTTTCAGGGACTGTTGTGGCACTTCCCATAACATTTCCAACCAAAGTTTTTTGATTATCGGTTTCAGAGACCGTAGTAGGTCTACTATCAACTGGTGGTAACACACCAGTGAGGGTATTGATTGCAGATTCCAAGCTGGGGTCAGACCAAGAGTAGTGAAATGCAAAGGACAGCGGAGGTTCTGATTTCTCATCATCCACTTCTTCATTTTCACGTTTCTCCAGCAGAGGTTCTGATTTTTTTCTTTTATTTGCTGAGTTCCCACCCTCACTTTGCTGCAATTCCCCTTTGACCTCATCCTTAGACCTTTTACTTCTATATTTGGGAGCTTCTTCACAGGATATGGAGTTCATTGACTGATGCTCAATTCCAGCTAATCGTTTTGAAGCCCGACGAGGAAGGTGGTGCTCTTTCTTATTACTTGATTTGTTTGAGCTAATTCGAATTTCTGGCTTATTGTCTTCTATTTTATCTGTTTCTTGCTGATGTGGTTGTTCTTTAGAAACTGTTTGCTCTTCAGAGATAACATCTAGAGTATTTCTACTTTTCCTCAAGTTTCTTTTTCGAACCTGAAGAGTCTGTTCACTGATCACATTGTTGGCCAACTGGACAGGTTTACTTCCAGCAAGTCTTGGTGACGACCGGTGTCCCACATTGAACTCCTTCCTATTTCTGGATATGCTATGGTTACTGCAATTCTTTTGAATATCATTCTCTATCATATTCACAACATGCTCCTTCTCTTGCACGTCATCTGCAGAAAGTACTTTTTCTGATTCTTTCAAGGAGTCATTTTTCAGAAGTGCTGAGCTACCTGGGTCAGATGTTTTTTTCATTTCAGAAGAGTACGCAGATCCATCCTCTAGTGAATGCATCTTTACAATGGATTCAGCCATGGGAACTGAAGCAACCATCATTCCAGATGGAACATTTGCAGTTTGCCCTTTCCTTGAGCTGTCAGCATCTGGCGATTCTAAGCAGCTTTTATCATGTATTTCTGTGGCTGCAGTAAAAAGTTCAAACCAAACAGTAATGGGCATAAGGTGTAATTGGTATATTCTTCATCCCACTGAGTTGGATGAACTTGTAGCAAAATTGAATAAACCATTCCTACCTAAATAAATGTAAGACATGGCTTCTTACCTGCAGAAATCTGTTGTTTGGGAGGAGATTGCTTCAGTTTCTGTTTCCTGGCATCGGTTGGAGGCTAGATTGAACAAAAACAGAAGAATTATGAAATTATTCAATTTGAATTCTCATATGCAAGCATGAAAGATGAATCATTGGGAGGCCCACGTTAAGATTATTCTTTATGAGTGATCAGGGATACCCATCATTCTAGGATTTTACACAACTAATGCCAACCAAAATCTATAAAGGATACTATGCGAGTAGGCAAATCATAATAAAGAAAGTCATTATTAGCTACTCCAGCAGATGCATAGTTGTCATTAAAAAGAAGATTCTTAATATTCTTGAATTTTCAGTGAATCTCAAACCTGATGTAATTAATCCCCAAAATCATTTAACAGTTTGGAGTAAAAACTAATAGGTAAGGAGAATACTCAATAAAAACAACAATAGTAAGATTATAGTCATGCAAAAATATCTTACAGTTAAGTTGTCTTCATCTTGGATTTGTCTTCTACTTGGCTTATACGCACATGAATGAATATCACCAGATTCAAGATAGCGCAGTACATCCTTCTTAGAACGGAATACGTATCCACTCACTGGATCTATATAAAACTGTTGGAACCCAATCATAATTTGTATAAGCATCAACTTCCCGAAAGCTTGTTAATGTAGCATATTACTAAATAAAGCACGCCATATAATATTTGCAGCCCACTTCTCCAAAAGGGAATAGTAAACACTACTTTAAAAAGGTATCTCTCAATTTGAAGCAAAAAAAAATGTAACATTACGTAAGTATCCATCATTTTTTTAATAAGGCCAAATTGCACTTTTAGCCTCCTGTAATAGCCAACCTGCAATTTTAGTCTCTTCATATTATAAAATCCCAATTTTAGTCCTCTATTGAATATTCATCAGTTGATCACAGTTAAAATTGTAATGTTGACCATAACTTGACATGAAAGTAAATGACATGATAATTAATATGTAATAAAATTTAGGCTAAATTTCACATTTAATTCTCATTTTTATTTCATAATCGTTAAAATTATAACGTTAGTTATGACTTGACATAAGGTAAATGACATAAAAATTAATAATAATACTTAGACTAAATTGCACTTTTAGTTCTTGTTTTTATTTCATTTCCATCTCATTTTATCACTTTCATGAGATAAAAATTGAAATTAAAAGTGAAATTTAGCCTAAATTTTATTGAATATTAATATTAATTATCATGTCATCTACTCAATGTCAAATCATGACCATCGTTATAATTTTAATGATCATCAGATCAACATTCAATGAGAAATCAAAATAGCGGATTTTATAAAATTGGGGGACCAAAACTGGGGATTTGATATTGCAAGAGCACCAAAAGTGCAATTTAGCCTTTTTATAATTAGTAAAAAAAGCGATCCTTATGAATGGACAAGTAAAGAATGAACCCCTACCAAAGATCAAGTAAAAAATTTCATACCGGATCTTTCCGAATGCCATTCCCATTCTTCCTAATCTTTAATTCTTTTACCCATCCAGGTGGTAAATCCTCCGCAATAGACTTCTCAACCACAACCTAAAACAGAGAAAAACTTGGAAAATTAAATATATGCAAACGGTGAATTTATAAAAATATTCAATGGACTAAATAAAGGTTCATCCAATAATCTCTTTTACAAACCTATCACATTTTATTTGTAAACTTTCCATGCCTTTTGTTTGTAAAAGTGTACGTGTTAGAGCACACAACCCAAATACAAAAAAATCACAAAATATGAAGAAAAAAAATTATGCAACCTGGGGAAGTAGATGTACAGAGAAACTAATGCATAAAAATAAGGCCTTAACCCAAGGCTTCCATTTTAATTTTCTGAACGTCACTTTTGTAATGTGGGTCACATTCTTTCATGATTTAATCTACAATTTTTTTGCTCATTGTGGTCGTAGTAATTTCAAGTAAGCTTTTGTACCATGGCCCTTTCTACTCAATAATAAATAAATGCCCTTCCATTTAGTGTGGTTTTGGTTTCAGATGCCATAAACAGTTGCAAATAATTTTGATTGCACATCATATGACAGATTAATGGATGATAATAAGAAATAACCATCAATCTGATGATGACATTCATTAATAACAAACAGAAAAGAAAATGAAATTCAAGATAAAAGGGATATAGAGATACAAACATCGGTTGGAGAATCCACATTACTGCATTTCTTCTCCTTGGAAGTGCAACTGTTGTCATATGGAGAATCCATGTTACTGCATTTCTTCTCCTTCTTGGAAGCACAACTGTTGTTGTTTGGAGAATGCATGTTACTGGATTTTTTCTCCTTCTTGGAAGAGCAACCATTGTCTTCTGGAGAATGTATGTTACTGCTTTTCTTCTCCTTCTTGGAAGTGCAATCATTGTCACTTGGAGAATGTATGTTACTGCTTTTCTTCCCCTTTTTGGAAGTGCAACTATTGTCCTTTACAGTTTCGAGATATCGTAGCACCTCCGGTTTGGAGAAGAATTTGTATCCTTTCAATGGATCAATGTAACACTGCAACATGAAAACAGTTTTATAGTGAGGGATAAGTTGCATTACTAGTGTTGAATTGTTGATAGATAAATGACAATAAATGCATCCAGAAGTTTTACACGAAATGCTTACTTTAACCTTTTAATCTGCGATTAATTGAGGATAACAGGATAAGTAAAAAAACAGAGAGCAACATTGTAATTAATATGCCTGAAAATTAATTGTCTAAAAACAAAGCAAGAGAAAATAAAATACCTCATATAAAGCACCAATACTTTCATTTACATCACATATTTGTATTCAATATGTATTCAATACCAATACGATACTCTTGTATACATTACCGATACATGAAAACATATGTGTAAAGTATCCAAGCCTTTAAAAAAAGTTATGAAAGCATGTATAATACAAAAACAAAGCATCATCCCTTAAAAAACCATCAAATGAAAATTTTCCTCTTTTTGGATGATCTCAAGAAAGGAATGAGATTAACATTATTCTCATTTGTAGTCAATAGGAAGTGATTTATGATGACAATGATTTATAATTTTTATTTTCATTTCAGTAATGCAAAGACAAGAAGTATGTTCTTAATTTAGATTTGCAAAACTGCAATTATATATCTTTTATGATTTAAGAATTTTTATACATATCTAGATATGTATCCTCCATGTATTGTATTCTAGATATTTTTAGAATAATGGTAACACCATATCGTATAAGTATCATATCTGATACATAACCATTGCAAAATAATTTGAACATGGTCTCAAAATATGTGACCCAAAATCCAGTTCACCAATTTAAGACAACTGTCACAAGCCAGACAGATGGGGAAAACAACAGTAATGTATCTACCATACATTGAAATCCTGAATGTTATTAAGAAGTAGATTTAATATTTTTAAAGTAAACTTCTGCTACAGACAATTCTACAAAATAAGAAATTACTCATGATTCAAGTCAAGAAACTTGAGAACAGTGCAAGTTATAGACTGGTAATGTCAAACATACATTAGTGGCAGCAGTTACTACCTGACTAACAGCAAGCAGGTGTTTAAGGAATAATAAGAACTTACTACAGGAATGACGGAAACTAAACAACAATCTAACTAAAGACAGTATCGGTCTAAAACAGTAAATCCAAATTAAGAGAATCTATCTACACCTTATATCCAGATCCCATATGTACACCACTTTTACGGGTTCTGACTTCCATGTTCCAGCCATCAGGTAACCATTCAGGACGTTCATTAGCTTTATCTATACTCTGAAATTGCCACAAATGAACCAAGTGATAAGTGATAAAGGCTTTTAGCAAAGTAGGGGAAAGAAATATCCCAACCAAAAACATCTGCAAAATTTATACCCACCTGTTGTTTAGAATTGGATTTTGTGTTACTACTGTCAATTTGTCTATTGGTTTCTTCAGACTTTTCAACGGTGGGACTTTCCATTGTCAGAACGCGGTTTATGTCATCAAAAAGATAAAACAAACTCGCAAAAACTGTTTAAGCACCACACGTCTCCCTGACTTTCCTTATTCCAATAACTCACTTCATCTGCCAAAAAACTTGCATACCAACTCGTTTCATTACACCATCAGGGAGAAATAACATGCAACAAACATATTAGGAACCACAACTAGCCCTCCAATTTAATCTAAACTGGATTTTCCCCATCAGCGCTGCACCCCCCGAAACACAAAAAACTCTCACAGGTCATTAAAAGGAAAAACAGCTCCATCGGTATGACCCAATGAAGAAACACATCTGAACATTGAACAATGAAACACGGTCACCAGACAAGCAAATTAGAGTCGCCTGGTTAGGAAGTATTTCCCCCACCAAATTGAAGATCAAATTCCTTATATAAAGAGAAAAACGAAAGCAAAAACATACTTCAGCAAACCACAATCTTTGGCCCTAGGGTGAGAAACAAACAGAAAGAGAAAGGACGCAAAAGTAATAGAAATGAATCTAGACACAAGAAATGCATTGATTTTGACTAAAAACCCATCCACCCCCAACAAATCAAAAGAAAATAAAATAACAACAATATCAATTAAAGGTGCACAAGAAGTAAAAATGAAAGGAAAAACTAAAAAATAAGGTAATAAAGATAAAATTAGTTGGTAGTAGTTACCCTAATAGAAAGAAGAATTGGAGGATCCGGCGGATGTTGGAAGAGGGAAATGAAATTGCGAAGGCGAAGCGAGATAAGAGAGTTTGGGGATTGGTTTTGATGCTTTTATCACTGTGCGAATATTTAATCTCAGTCCAGTCCACGACTCCGCCTCCAACCCACGTGTTCTATTCAATGAAAGATTGAAATGCAACACATACACTACACACTTTTTGTTTCTCCCCAAAATAAACATTTATTTTAATTCTTATTAACTCGCCACCAGACCACTGTTCTGTGCGTTAGGTTAGGTCAGTTACTCGTTCCCTCACGCATCTCATCTCTTATCTCACACCCACACTTGTATATTTTCTTTTTTTCTAAATCTCTCAAATCAAAAACAAACTCAACGTTGTAATGATTATTAATTCTTAATTAATCTATGATTATAAAAAAAGTATAATGCTGCATGCATACAAATTCGTCACCGATGAATGTCAAGTATAGTAAGAATATTAAAAAAATTATATTTAAATTATATATACACCGAGTGCAATGGACAACAATGAAAAAGGGCAACGAAACACGGCAATTAAATAATGATAAGAAACGATATGGCTCATTCATGTAGGCAGATAAATTAAAAGAGAAATCATGTTGCCAAGTAGTGTTATTCAATAAAAAAAAATATTGAGAAAATAAATAAAGATTTAAATATATTTTTAATCTCTTAAATTTATGATAAATTTATTTTTATCTATTAAATTTAAAATTATTATATTAGTTCTTATAATTTTAAAAAAAATTATTTTAATCTTTATAATAAAAAGTGAAGTCCTATTGCCAAAATCCAAATAGTGTGATTTAAAAAGATATGTAGCGGCCGGCTTGCCAATTATGAACATACATGCCTGGAATGACGTTATTTATTTAACGTAAATTATTTATTTACGTTAAATTTAAAAATTACATTAGAATTAGAATTAATGATAAATGCAGAAATTATAAATATTTTTTTTTATATGTATCCATTCACGTGACGTAGTTTCAAATACAAATTATATCTCTAATTTCTATTTACGGGTACAAAAGATATCTGTATCTTCCTGAATTATTTTTAAAAGATGATAAACAATGTAAATTATAATTCAGTAGGTGGTTATTAAAAATATAAGTAATTGTGGAGTGAAGTTTTAAAAATATATAATTTATAAAATAGTAACTGTATAAATAAAAAATTTTAAAAATACGGACATTAAATAAAATAATTTCCTTTAATAACATTATAGATATAAAAAAAATGACACAAGAATGACAAAATAGATAGAAGAGAGATAAATTTATAACAACTAACAAAGATATATATATTTTTTTAGGTGAAATATCTTTTTCATTTTTTTTAACACCTAGAAAAGAAGACAATATCATTTTTTTTTCTTCATATTCTTTTAGGTCTTTAATCTTGTAAGTTTTAACTACTTTCTTCAACTTTTTTTTTTTTTTACAGTATTACTTTATTCGACTATTCTCAAGCTAACCGTACTTTTTTATTTTATTTTATAATATTTTTTTAAGTTTTTTACGATTAATGAGCTACGGAGTTTTTTCCCACTAATATTAATACGACTGTTTCGGTGAAAAGAAATAAAATATATATATATAATATAAATAATATAAATGTATCAAAATAATTACAATGATCGAATCCTGCCTTGTGTATGCAGCCGCGTTAAATCTTGGGACCAGCTATCCCACCCTTTGAGGTGCCTCCAATGTAGCGAGGAGATTAGTCACTGTTGTTGGCGGTAGATACTCCAGGGACGAAAAAAAAAAATAATTACAATGATCACGGATATTTTTCAAATTTTCGTTTATAGCTATAATTTCTCTTATGAAGAAATATTAATATTTAATTGCATTATATATCAAATAATTTCTTCGTCCTCAAAATTTCTACAAGATACAAGCCTGTAGTTGAATAATAATTACCTAAAATTACAGCAGTGATGAGATTAAACACTTCAACATGGTTTAACAATCTTAGCGAGTAGTTCTAAAAACAAAATCTTAGTGAGTATTACGTAATTCGTTTAAACTATAACAACTAACAAGCCTTCCAAAATAAACAGTTACAATTTCATCAACTGGTCAAGTGTGCTGATTAAATATTAATTTTCGCCGTTGATATATTTAATAATTTAAATAGTTTGTTACCATTTACCAGGAAATTAATATGTTTTAGAGTTTCTTCATGTTATTATATCAAATTAGATGCAATATCTTTCATCATTTAACTATTCAATAAAACCAAGTCCTAAGCTTTCATGTGTTGGTATATAGAACACTTTTTCCTTTGATTACCGAAACCAATTATTCTCTCTATTTTATTTTTTTTTCATTCACATGTTTATTTTTGTCGCTTTCTGCTATTCCTTACACAAAAGCATTGACTTTTCGAAATTTTACCTGCAAACTACTCGGTGCAATTAATAGAAGGGACAAAGAAAAACACTTCTCTAGTTCTCTTCCTTTTTTTCTTCCACACGTAACAAGGTTCTCCTCATTTGCATTTTCTCCCTCGACATCGAAAGAACACCGGTATTTTTTATCTATTTCATTTATTGTATTGTCTTATTTAGAGATGATAAGTTTTTTTTTAATGCTTAAAAGGCATAATTTGTTTTTTTGGAATCAGAATTAAAAATAATTTATAAATATTTTTTCTTTAATATATCGATATGTTTTTTCGATAATAAAATTGTGACGATTCTATAAATACCGAAATAAACAATATTTAGAATGTGATGTTGCTAATAATATCAATGAACTTATGGTTTAAATATTAATACTAGAAGAAGAAATTGTGCAACGATCTACTATGATCATTACATTTAAGGATCTAACTACTAGTAGTAAAAAGAAAACATATATTTAGTTTTATAAGGTCAAAATACAAACAATTTTGAATAAACATGTATAATATATGTATAAGAGTAAGGGGAAGCCAATTGAAAATTTACAAATGTTTCCCCTCATGGAACTACATCATGTTCTACACGCACACAAAATAATCCTAGAACTATAATGTATATAAACCTAGGTTGTCAATTAAGTAATATGCCACACCAACTTCATCAAAGTAGCTCAAAGGGTCACCAACATCATCGCCAACATGGCCTCAAACAACACTACCTCCAACATATTCTTGTCATGCTCCCATATTAATATAACCATCGCAATCCAAGCATAAGAAAACATGTAAGGGTTATTATTTAAAGAATATAGTAAGTATATAAGAAAAAATGACTACATTACCCACTTTAACAACTAAACTTGTTTTCACACATCATCATCTTGCAACTTACCAACATACAATATTATCATATAAGCATCAACCCATCAACATGCCATATAAATAGTGTAACACATTAGTCAACTTAAGCAACACACAACATAGCATATGCACAACACCAGTCATAAACTCAACAACACGTGCACAATCTTTTCACTATTGGACAGTTTAAATGTCTTTACACTATTGAACCAACAACAACACAATCTTTTCAATCAAGCAAGATCAAATACCAATTTGGGTAAAAATCCACAATAACATGGTTTCTTGAATTTCGTCACTTAATCTAAGAAAATTTAGTATTCTTGTTAGGGTAAGACAGTTTGGATGTGGGTCTACCACGACATTAGCATGCATAACTAAGTCTCTTATGAGAGTAGTTTGTAGACTACTTTCTAAATATTGCGTCCCTTCTAATACTTAGTTAGAGATTTTGGCCTTCGACCTTGTACCTTACTCTAATTTGGTCACTTTATACATGTATAGTTCAATTTGGGCCCATATGGATCAACATTGGTCACTTTATAATCAGTATAGCTCAACCTGACCCTTGAACTATGGTTACTTATAAACAATATGTTGTGACCTTTTTCACATATGGCATCAACTAAGATCTTAAAGGTGAGTCAATAATCCATTTTAAGGGTAAATTTCGTAAGAAGATTTTTTAACAACTAAGCTCGTAGAACACCATAACATCATATCCTTACAATAAGATATTCAACTTTTAGAAACAACATCTTTTCTAATTCTATGTCGATCAACACAATTTAACATCATGCCTTTGACATTTCCAACATAACTACTCAACACTTCACAATATACAACTCGTGTTATATTCCTATAGTTTATTCATTTATGTACATTATCCCTAGATTAATGTATAAAGAACAAGCAACATACAACATATAATAGATCTAACAAGCATACATATGTTTGACACTTGGGTAAGAAAACAACACATATTTATTAAACAATAATCCATGCCCAATGTCGTTCTCCTTATGCTTGTCATGAAATGAGACAGAGAGTCTTTGACTCGTCCATACCCGACAGTAATCTACCTGTGCTTGGCATGGATGAAGCAGAGAGTCCATGTTGCTCTCATGCTTGGCGTAGCCAAAATCTATGTTGGACCTCATTTTAGGTAGATAACCTTTGTCTAACTTACACTCGACGTCACCACACTAGCATCGAACGTCATCTAAGCAAAAAGTCTTTGTTTCGATCACGCATGGTGACACTCAATTAGGGTCTAATGTCACCAAGATAAAAAGCTTTAAGACTCTTACACTTGATGCCATTCAACTCACATCCGATGTAACCAAGTTAAAGAACTTTCCTCTACTCATGTTTGACATTATCAATCTCGTGCCCTGTGTCGATGAGGCAAATAACCCTTAACCCAAATCACGCCCAATGCCATGAAGTTTGCACCTGGCATGATGGTGTTTTCTGCACTTGGCAAAATCACAAATTTGCTCAATCCACTTGAAGCTCAAAAGATTCCACATATGCAATGCACCAAGAAAATGGTAAAAGGCAAGTTCTTATTTATTTTATAAGTCATGTTTTGTAGGATACAAAAATGAGATACCAAATTGCATTTTCATTTTAACTTTATCTTGGCATCTTCATCTTTGTCCTTATTTTCAAAGCCATCAAATTATAGTTAAAACTGATTATCCAATCAAACAAATACTCAAAGCCATAACTGACATGTCATATGATAACATTGTTAACATAGTTGTTTAAGTATGGAATAAGGTATGAAAGTAAAGGACAACTCAATGTTTAGTCGACTTTATTACCAAGTTGACTCTAGTACCGGAATAGAAGGAACAATGATGGATTCTACATGTTGATGGTTCATCTAATATTAGGGGCAATTGAACATATATTATTATTGGAAGACCTAAAGATATCATGTTGGAACAAGCTATAAAGTTCAAATTCAGAGTCACCAATAATCAAGTAAAATACAAAGTATTATTGGCATAGTTAAGGTTGGCGAAAGATGTTGGAGTCAAAAATTTGGAAAAGTTGTAATGACTCATAATTGATCACATAACAAGTCAGAGGAACTTGTCAAATAAAGGAACCTCATCTTCAAAGGTATTATCATCTAGTCTCTTAGTTAATTTCTTACTTTAATGACTTTAAGATTTAGCATATTTCTCTAGATAAAATCTACAAGGCCAAACTTTTGTCTAAATTGGCCAACACCAAATGTCTTAGTCAACACAAGATGACCATCCAAAAAACTATTACAATTCCAAGTTTTAAAATCAAAACAATATTGGATGGCAAGGTTGAGGACAAAGGTTGGATGATAAATATTTGAAATTATCTCAACAATGGGTTACTTTTAGAAAACAAACTAGTAACTAAAAAGATCAAGACTAAATAATGTCACTTTGTCATTTAAACAAATGAGCTTTTCAATAAAGGTATCATTTATCCTTTTTCTTAGATGTTTAACAAAAGATCAAACACAGTGTGATTTGTAACATTGTAAAAAAAAAAAAGAAAAAAAAAAGGCTGATTCAGTAGCCCAGAACGGGCCGTTCCCAAACTGGAACGGGCCGTTCCACACTACTGAATTGAACTACATATTGTAGTTGAGAACGGGCCGTTCCGGCAAGGAGAACGGGCTGTTATAGGAAGGAGAACGGGCCGTTCCGGAGGGAGAATGGGCCGTTCCGGAGGGAGAACGGGCTGTTCCTGAGGGAGAACGGGCCGTTCCGGATGAGTCCCGGAACGGGCCGTTCTGTTTTCAGAACGGGCCGTTCTGGGCGTGGATTTTGTGCGTGATCTGGGAGTTCAGAACGGGCCGTTCCGGTATCGGTACGGGCCGTTCTGGCCACTCCGGATTGCCTATAAATAGGGGTGAAGGGGGGGCCGTGAGGAGTTATGGTTCTAGAGAGAAGTTTTAGAGAGAAGGTCTCTGGGTCAGTGAGCTCCTTTCTCTCCCAAATTTCTCTGTTTAACTCCTTTTCTCCTCTAGATCAATAACTCCTTCTGTCTTTTCTTGAATTTCAGATTAGAAAGCTTGTTTTGGGAGGACTGAAGTTTCGAGTTGAGCCTCGAGGGGAAATTATACTTTTGATTCAGTCTTTGGCTATCTGAGCCAATCTTCAGGTAAGGGAAGCTAGATTGTTTGCATGTGGCTGAATTTGTTAGTTTGGATGAGAGTTTTGAACTCTCTGAATAGTTTTAGGCCGGGCGCAGGTTGAGCGTATCAGGCGTGGAAGAGCTTAGAGCTCTTGGGTTGGTGTTAGGCCAGGCGCGAGTTGACGGCACTGTGCTTGAATATATTTATGAATGAATTGATGCTTATGCATGTTTAAAGTTGAAGTTTTAGATCATGTATGTATGATATATGATGTATGGTGAGGTGTGATTCATATGTATGCTTTGTGATGATATATATGAATGTTTGAATATGATACGTTCATATGGTATGTATTGATCATAATGGTAGGTAGACCATTTATGATGTATGATGCATTATTGCATGTGATGTCTTATGACATGTGTATGGTTGTTGATCATGATGGTGGGCAGACCATTATGATGTATGATGCATGATTGCATGTGATGCCTATGGCATGAGTCTAGCCTAGGACTTGAGGAGAGGAAAAATATTTCGAACTGGAAGAGCTCACATAGAGTCTCTTGAGAGTGGTGCTTGGATAGGCCACTGATATATGAGAGTGGTGCTCTGGGAGGCCACTGGATTTGGGAGAGTGGTGCTCAGATAGGCCACTGGGTTGGGTGAGTCTCCTCTAAGTCCTTAGCTAGTGTTGGAGCGGGGTATGAGGTCGAGGGTTATTCCCTTAACCAAGTACTCGGGAAGGTGCGTGGATCCTTGCGGATAGTCGGTGGGCGAACTCCACAATTGACTTGGTTAATGCATGCCAAGGTCGTGGTAAGCCCGTACCCAGCTGTGCTATACCTGACGGTGGATCTGGACTTCCAAGTGTGTAAGTGACATCATCCGAGTAAACCCGAGTGAGGATTATATATCCTGTTTAGCTGTGACCGAGCGGGCGCATTGGGCGTGAAAACGGTTGGGGTGGTTTCGGTAGGATGGAATGTCACTTGTACAGCTCTATTGTTATGGAGATCTCCTAGGTGTATGCGTGACGACGCATTAGATGATTGATATGTATGCATATCTGTCATGAGTTGCATTCATTGCATGATTATTAATATGATGAAGTGTGGTGTTTGACTTCATGTTTGATGAATGAATGATTGATTGAGATGAAAGGTTCCTTAGGGACAGGATTTGGGATGCATGTGTAATATAGATTTTTATTCTGTACTTGTATTATTGATCTTTGAATTCTAGCTTACCCTTTTGTTTTCCATGTGGTGGAACTGCGATGATCATACTTGGTATGGGAGCAGGTCAGGGATAGCTTGGGAGTAGAGATGATCGTTGTGAGACGAGGAGCTGAGTCTCGTGTTTTGAGTTACCATTCTGGGTAACATTTTTTTTGTCAGTGCTTGACCGGCACTAAGGAATATTTTGGGATGACTGTACATATATGGTGCTATATTTTATATACAGAAACTTAATTATTTCGATCTTTATATTTATGTCTGTATGTATGTGTTATCCAGTTTAATATTCTCTTAGTTAACTAGTTGTAGTGCGATTCCACTAAGTGTAGAGACCGTGGCGGATCGTTACATGATTGAGGAGATCCATAAAGGTATCTGTGACATCCATTATAGAGTTTGATCCATGGCCACTAAAGTCATTCGAGCTGATTAATATTAACCAACCATAAAGTTAGATTGCAAAAATTATGAGAGAAGATATAAACCTTGTTAAGAATTTGGTTAAATCACCTTATATTACATGTATTGATTACATCAACATATATGCTCAGTTGTAATATCAATATATTGAGTTGGATTTCCAACTCGGTCAATCTTCTTGTATAGTTGCAGCAATTATGGAATTAGCGAAAACAAAAAAAAAATGCGATTAGTCAATAAAAGTTATGTATATGATATGTTATAAAATCAAAAGTATACCAACTTGATCATCAAAGTTCTTTTCATAGGTACCTCTAAAACATTTTGGACGAAGATTGAAGACAACCTGATTTAACATCTAAGGACAAATAAAGAAGAAGACCTTGTAGAATAACTGTTCCATTTTAGTACATTATGGTAAGAACATTTATGTTCCAATTGTAAGTTCGTTGATGATAATAAGGTCACCATGTTTGAGGTATTCTTCACTTTGGTATTTGTTTGATCATCGCAATTTTATCCTTTAAAAGGTGTCTTGATGGATTAAGGAGGAAATCTGTTTATAAACTATTTTTAGTCTCGATTCATAAACAATACTATACTTTTAAACATATCAAAACAAGTTCTCTATTTGAGGTTAAGGGGTATGAGTGAGCTAGGCCCTCCTTTTGTCGCCAATGTTTCGATCATAAATTTACTGACATCGTTAGAATCATTAGGTTCAATATATTGTTTGTTTTGATGCTTGTTATGTCATCACAATTTTTTCTTTGAAATTATGGTTCAATAGGTTAAAAATAGATGATATTTACAAGTTACCCTTAGTCTAAATGATGAGAGATCTTTAAGTACACCGAAATAATATGTTTTTCCCATCTTCACCATTTCCACTTTTATTTGTTTGTTTATGCATATTTTCCCTTTTCAGTTATATTTTTTCATCCTTTTCACCTCTCCATTTATTTGCGTTTGCAACTAATAGATGAAGTAGTTTAGAGTTGGACATCTAAAAGTTGAGAGCATTGTCCTAGGTATGCGTACTAAATTTTTAATTTGATAATGTTTTTAGAAGTTAGAGAATTGAACTTGTTTAGATATGTTTCTTATAAATTCATGGAATATATTAATAATGACTGATATGAGTATAAATAATATTAATGATGAACATTAAGTTAGCCTTATGTAAAATTATGACATCCTTTTTAATATATGGTGATAGTTATTAGGAGATGTTTGTTTTAAAGTATGTTACTAATTTTTTTTAGAGATGACAATTTTAAAAATATTATTATTGAAATGTTATTTATGAGAATTTTTAAATACATGTTTGGTGAGATTTTAACATTTTAAAAAATATTTAAAATTTTTATATTAATTATAATAAAAAAATTGAAAAGTGTATTAATATAACTTCTCATATTTTAATGGAAATACAACTTTTCTATCCTCCACTATAAGAATTAAAATAAAGTGAGTCATGACGAATTTCTCAAAACTAAATCATATTCAAGAATATTTTTGTAAAACACTAAACAAACATAAGAATATCACATTCCCAACTCAATATTTACGAGGAAACAAACACACTATATGAATATAAAACTATTAATAATAATATATTTATTAATTTTGATATTAATTAATATTTTAAATTGTAAAACGTACAAGATAATTTTTTTTACATTACTAGAAATTATAATAAATGAATACCCTGAATAAATAAATTATTTGTAATTAAATTTTGTAATAAATAAATATTTTAAATATATAAATTATATTTTAAATTAATGATAAATAATTTATGTTATGATATAAATTTTAATTTAAAAATAAATTCGATTTACATTTTAAAGTTTTAAAAAATAATTTATTTAAGATAATAATTTTTAATTTATACATAGAGAGAATTATTTTAGAAAACATATTTATCCTGACTCCATTGACCAAGAGCGTAATTAAAATAGCCGCAGTCTCTACACAAACCAAAGCCCATTCAGTAACGCAAAAGTCTTTGCTTCCATTTGAGGTTAGCGTCTCTCTCTTTCTCACCTGGCTATCTGCAATTCGCTACACACCATCGCTACTTCTTTTCAACTTTCCTTTCCTTGCAAAATTAGGGCATTCAAAACTCAATACTCACTACTTACCTTACTGCACGCTATTAGGATTAGGGTTTTGCCCAATTCGAATTTCAAAGTGAGCAACCACCGTGTGCGTGTTTGGATCTTCAGATGGCGTTGCAGGAGAGGCTAGAGAAGTTCAAGAAGCAGCAAGAGAAGTGCCAGACCACGCTGTCGAGCATTGCAGCAAGCAAGGCCGCTGCCCAAAAATCTGCCTCCGCCTCGGCCAACGGAAGAAATGCGGTTCCTCCGGTTAAGTTTTCCAGCGACACCGAGAGGCTTCAGCATATTAACAGCATACGCAAATCCCCTGTGGGTGCTCAGATGAAGCGTGTTATTGACCTCCTTCTAGAGGTACTTATACAAATTGCGCAAATATATTGCTCCTTGCTTAATCGAGTTCGCAGTTTTATTACCCGTTTTATATGATACTACTGTACTAGTGAGAGATATGCATGAGATGAACAAATAGGAAAGGAATTTTGCTTGCCACTTGCATGCGGTCGGCTGTTAGAAACACACCCTGTTTGGATAAATTTTCGAGAGTCTCTTAGGCTTTGTTTGGATAAATTTTTGTCATAAGCGCTTACACGAGAAGAGAATAAGTTTTTCCATAAATTAAAACCACTTTATACACCTTAGTTTATGGAAAAGTTAAATGGAAAGAGCTTTTATAAAAGTGAAGTGCACACGTTTATTATAGCTTATGTAGAAACTCGATTCATTTGCCTTTTTATTTTTTTCTTCTATTAATGTTTATGGGGAAAGCTATTTAAATAGTGCCCTATATGAAAAAGAAATAAGAAACACGAGAATAAATTAATAAGGTTAAATGAATTAAGCTTCTTCCAAAGTTAATCTTTGTTAATGCATAGGTTAAAATCAAATTTTCGAGAAGTTAGATGAGAGGGCTTCTATGAAAGTTGAAGTGCATAAGTTAATTTTAACTTTAGGAGAAGTTTAATTCACTTTATCTTCTTATTTTCTTATTCTATAAGTGTTTATTGAGAAATTTATCTAAAAAGCCTTCAGTACTAAATTTCAAAATTGTTTTCCTAAAACACTGGCTAGGAGATTTTTGCTTCTTGAAGTTAATTTGTGGATAATGAATCTGAGATGGTGATTGATACACCTACCTTTCAGACTATCCCTGTCCTTTCTTAAGTTGAAATTGCACACACACACGTACAAAAGTTTGGGGGGTTGCCTTATTCCGAGGTTTAGGGATTGTCATATGCCTCAAGTAACTATTGCATTTACGGATGACCAACCTAAGAAAACCCACCATCAGGAGTTTATTTGTTGTGACCATATTGATTTCTTGCATGTGTTTGCTTTGCTGACAGACACGGCAAGCTTTGACACCAGAGCAGATAAATGAGGCGTGCTATGTTGACATGAAGGCTAACAAAGATGTCTTTGAGAATTTGAGGAAAAACCCGAAAGTAAACTATGATGGGCAACGATTCTCTTACAAGGTTACTTTTATTCATGCATATGCCTGAACATTCATATTTAGAAGTTCCTTTGCTAAATAACTTATGCTTCTTCCGTTTGCTTTTGGCCTATAGTCAAAGTATGGTCTTAAGGACAAAACTGAGCTTCTACATCTGATACGAAAGTATCCAGAGGGTCTTGCTGTTATTGACCTAAAGGATGCGTATCCGACTGTGATGGAAGACTTGCAGGTAAAATGACTTTTATTAGGTTCCCCACTTCCCCCCTAACAATGAACATTTCTTGGCATTGATTTACAGTGACTTCGTTAGATATATGTCTGTTCTTATTTCTTACATATGGGACTCTTGTGTACATAATGTATTTTGGAGAAACATGAATGCACATTAGTGCGTTTTATAAATATATTTTGCCACTTTCTCCTAACATTTTCCATTATAGCATTAAGGATAGTACCGAGTAAATAAAATTATTTTTTAATTAGTCATTACAAAATATTGCCGTGTAAGGTGTTGCTAGCTTGAATGTGGTGCAATCTTTCCTGCTTTTTTCTCACTTATTAGATTTTAAGCTGTGTTAACATGCAGAATTTCAAATGTTCTTACTGCAGGGGGTATTATGGCTAGTAGTAGAAAAAAACAATTGAAATTCTCCTCCTTTCACTTCTCTGCATTTGTTTTGTCTTTTTCTTTTTAAAGATCATCCTCTTTTCTTATTGAGGTTTACATGATGCTGAGATATAAATGGAAGAGTGAACATTTAGTTTATTTTTATTGAATTATGTAAATAAGAATTTATATAAACTCTAAACCCTAAATATTTAGTTTATTTTTATGGAAGAGTGATATATAAATGGAAGAGTGAATATTTGGTTTATTTTTATTGAATTATGTAAATAAGAATACAATTATTTGATAAAGTAGTTATATGACATCATTAATCGGATGACTTGTGACTATTAGTGCTAGTCCATGTTTTTGTAGAAGTTAAAGAGTTAAAATCTCGCAAATAATTGGTTTCTCACGGAATAGGATCTTATAAAGCTTTCGGTTTTTAGGCTTTGAAAGCTGCGGGGCAGATTTGGCTGCTGTCCAACTTTGATTCTCAGGAAGACATTGCCTACCCTAATGATCCCAAAGTGCATATTAAGGTGGATGATGATCTGAAACAGCTTTTCCGGAGTATTGAATTGCCTCGTGATATGATTGATATAGAGAAGGATCTTCAAAAGAATGGAATGAAGCCTGCCACTAACACTGCCAAGAGGAGGAGTGCAGCACAAATTCAAGGCATTTCTTCCAAGCCAAAGCCTAAGAAGAAGAAGAGTGAAATCAGCAAGAGAACGAAGCTGACCAATGCCCATCTTCCAGAGCTTTTTCAGAATTTAAACAGTTCCTGATTAACTCTCAACTAGTGTTGTATTAGTTAAAATAGAAACTTATCAGTCAGTCTAAACTAGATTAGCAGTGTGAGAAATATTCAGGAAGTTCTTGCTGCTCTGCCCTACTCTTATTTGTTTTCAATTTTTATACATGAAGGCTGCAGCTAATGGACTGTTGTGATCTGTGTAATAACTCGTATTAATTTGTGAATCCTTGTATATTAAAACCATGTTATAATTAATGTCCAAATCTTGTAACTTTATATACAAAAAATACTAGATCGAAAGTTCAAATTTCTTTTCTTTCAATTCATTAAGTGAAACAAAAGCTGCACTTTGTTCAACTTGAGATTGTAACCTACCCCAATGGAAGCCAGAAACAATTCTATTAAGCTTTGTCTATGTAGACGTAGATCTTAATTACGGCTATGCTCAGTAATAAATATTATCACACTGCAGCATAACTTGATAGGTAAATTAGAGGTTGCAGAAAGAGTCTGAGAATCCTGAGTTCAAAGCAAGCTGTGAAAGTACTAAAAAGATTTGCAAACAACAGACATAAAAAAAGGATTAATGAAATAATTCAATCCGTTGATTTTCTTTTTTGGAAAATAAATCTTGGAGAAAAATGAAAGGAAAACATGCTCATGTACGTGGGCGCACAGTCAGCCGTTGATTTAAGAAAAAAAAAAGGGAGGGACTAGGGAGATAACAGAAAGAAAATAAAAATGGATGGTGAATTGTTGAGAGAATGACAGTGAAGTTGTATGTAAATAACTGTAATAGCGATGATTGTAAAATTATAGAAAATTAAAATTGTTGCATTATAGAAAGGAAGAAATGTAAATTTGAACGTTGTGTAAACAGGTTGCAAATAAAAAAATAAATGATACAGTAAGTAAGAAGAGGTGTGGCAGTTTCCAACAGAAAGCGTAGTTCACTTAAAATGTAAGGCGCCAAATTTTGCGTGGTATTTAAATGAAAGGCGTTGGTTTTTCCCAGTCCACCCATTTTTGTCGTGAGAATATGTTGCTTTAGTTTAGTGATATACCTCTCTCTCTCTCTCTCTCTCCCTCGCTTTTATCGAAGAAGCAAAGCGCAAAGAAGCAGAAAATGGGTTTTGCCATGCAATGCTCAAGCTATAGCACTTGTATTTCTATTTGTGTTCCTCATCGATTCGCCCAAACCTCTCTCTCTTTTCACGGTGAGTGAGTTTCCATTGATCTAGATTTAGCGCAACATCACCGTTACTGCATTAATTCGAATTCCTTTTCCAGCTTACCACTGGAACCGATTCAAGAGTGCGCGAAGGAATCAAAGGATAACGGTTCTCTCTGGCGTGGACGAGCGAAGCTCCAACCTAGGTTCCGAGAGGAAAAGGTCTCTCTCATTTATCCTCGTTACACTTTCATCTTCCAATTTTCACGAATATGGCGATGACCGTTTCAATTTCATCTAGAAAAATTGTGGAACACGTTTGTCTACTCAAGGCAAAGCAGGATTTGTCTGAAGAGGAAGAGAACGACATGCTCGATTATTTGTACACAACGCAGTACCAAATGGGCGGTGTTGTTGCAATTTCATTAGGTGGAGCCGCATACATCCTATTAATATCCATTATCTAACTGCATCATAGTCTTAGGTTTTTGTTGCCAATGAGACGGCAACACTTTTTTTTTCATAAGATGATGACCTTCTGTCCTTCTTGTTGATCCTCTAGGGCGCGTTTCTGCTCCAAATCCTGAGCGCTTCACGCATGCTCTATTTATGCGGTTTCAGAAGAAGGAAAATCTAGAAAAGTTTTACGAGAATCCCTTCTACTTGAAGGTTCTCAAGGACCATGTAATGACTTACTGCCATGTATGCACCAACATGTAAACACCGATTCTCTGTTTCTTTATTTTTCGGTAATTCATGAGTGAACCACCGTGTGTCAACAGTTTTACTTGGCCCTCGTTTGATTTCTGTTTCAGGGATTAATTAATGTGGATTATGAATCGGAAGTGGCAGATGAAATGCTTTCTATATTTCGCAAAGGAGAGGTTAGACTAAGTTACTTTCTTCTTCTGGATCTATAAATTAAACGCTGTTCATTAAATAATGTCCGTATTCATATTTGATTGTAACCTAGGGCCACAGATGCTATGCTCATTACAAATTCTGAATGGAAATGGACATAAATGCATCTATGTTCTGGATATTTGTTATGTATTTTAGATTCATGGACCACTTTTTTGTTCATGTCTCTTTGTGGTATGTCCTATTTCTGATTCCAGTTATATTTTTTGGGGGTTTCTTTTAATTAATTTTGTGCCCAGGAGTTCAACCATGGACTGGAGTTTGTGCTTCTGATATCATTTAATGAGGATGCATTGGGTAACCCAGCAGAACATGCATTGGCCTCTCTGGCATTGATGATGTTGGAATCTCCTTCCTTAGTAGTCCAATTTACTCAAGGTATGTTTTCAGCTCCATCATCACTTGTACAATTGTTCCCTTGTTTTTAACTTAATTTTAAATTTCTTGGTTGGCTTATCTATAGTTCAAAACTTTAGTGAAAGAATAGTATGAAAAATAAGGGCGAGCCTTGACAAAATGGTAAGGTTCTGACTGGTGGTGACCGGTTTAAATCTTGAAAACAGCCTCTCTGCTTGACCCCACTTGGTAGGAGTGGGAATCTCATGTGCTATAGTATGAAGAATATACTTTTCACTGAGTTTTGATTTTGTAACTGGGTTCTTATTATTTGATTGCCAGGTTTGAATCTTAGTCCAAGCTCTAAGGAGTATACTCATGGAGTTGTGATACGATTTCGTTCAGGTGATGTTAATCTCATGGTCTGTAACATCTCATTTTCTTTCACCATGGTCTTGTTGACTGGTACTGGTGCATGATGACATTTCTTTTGCAGTTGAGGCATTTGAGATATTTGTAAACAGCAAAGAGTACAAAGATGTAAGAGACCTGATTTATTGTTTCTTGCACATTTAGATTTGTACACTTAGGCTCGTCTTTGTCATACTGCTTTTGATCTAAAGTAGCACGTACATTAGTGTCTGATTATAACCTCACCTTCATGCCACATTTTAAATGGAAGATGTTGCTAAATGTATCCCTTTTCGGTAAACAATATAAATCCTAAACTTTGTTTGGATTCATGCTGTCATTTTCTCTTGGTAAAGGCAAAATTCTAATTTGTTGGTCGTCACTGTCATTTTTACTCAGTATAGTTGGAAAAGGGGTTTTAGAGGGATAAGAGAGTGCAAACTTTTCATAAGTATTCTCTAATTTAATAATTTTTAAAATAAGAAATAAAATGAAAGATGAACATAAATTTAATGTCCTAATCTTTTGTTTATTTCAATAAGCATTATATAATTCTCTTAATTAAAAAAAAATCCCTTCCTTTCCTTGTTCTTCCAAAACCCCACTTCCAAGGATATCCTTATAGATTTTTCATTTTGATCATATTAACTTATTAAGACGAACATCTAATGAACAAAATTAAAATATATTTTCATATAAATTAAATATGTTTTACAAAACTGGACTATTACCACTGTAACCATACCTTGAGGATAACAGGAACACCAAGAGTCTAAGTTATCTTTGGATTTGAAAAACAGGTATGGCTGTCTAAGTTCCAGCCTATTGTCCACAAATCTTTGTCTCTTCATTTCTCTGTTGATCCAGTGGGAACTGAAATTATGTAGTGAGGACGATTTATGGTATGTTTTTACTATTTACTGGGCATATGTGGATGTGAGATACATATTTCTCTTATTTTATGCCAAATGTTCGCAGGTTTTCAACAAGAGATGCGGCTTGGTTTCCTCTTTATAGAAAAAAGGATGAGGGTTGTTTCCTGCCTTTTATTTTACCTTAGATGTTCTTTTGCCAGAAATTATGAATAATTGAATATAGTATAACTGTAAAAGTGTCCGCATGTTTTTGTGATATTTTGAATTGTTTACTGTATACGTGAATAATTGTATGTGTTTGCCTAGACCTGCTATCTATATATTGCTTTGGTAAAATATTGCTATTTAATTTCAAAATTAGGCCTACAAGGTACTATTTTTTTTTCCTGTAAAAATTATTGCATAATTGCAATAATGATTTTATGGTAATATGCTAAACTAATAATTATCAGTTCAACCAATATGACAAGAGTTATGAACCTGCTTGTGTTGGGAAAGCTTCGACGGGTGATTTTGACTCTAGTTTAGAGTCTATTCAGGGGATGCATTATTTTTTCTCCAGAAACCTTACTAAAAGATTTTCTTTTTACCCTTGAACAACAACAGGCCACTAATGGTATAATTAAGCCAACTTTTGTCAGTAATTTGTAAATATACTTGTACTTGACATATTTTGAGGACCATTTTAATTCTTTTACAATTACTATCTTTTATTTGTTGACTTGTTAATTAAATATACTTGTGTTGCTTTTTAACATATATACCACTCAGCTATGTTTAGCCTTTCTTGTCAAAGTCTTCCAATCTTATTAACTAAACTGTTTTTAATATTATTTACAGGCAATTGAATGAAAGAAATTAGGGATAATTTCCAAAATCTAAAGTCTTGATAAAATATTCAGCATGAAAAAAAATCAAATTTAGAGTGGGCATTTTTTTAACAGTCACCTTATTGTGTTCCTTTTTTCCTTCATATTTTTATCAGAAGTTTCTGTGTTGCATATATTTTCCTTACAATTCTTTCAGATGCCCCAACTACAGAATTACACAGGTCACGGTGTAAACTTCTAAACATAATTTACGTTTGGCAATTCTCAAGAATAAACTTCAATTTGGGAAAATGTCTTCATATTTCATTTATTTTCCATTGAGTAAAAGTACAATTTGTGTCTTTAGTAGACTAGGATGACGATTCTCCCAAACTTTATCTATTCTACATCTTTAATGGGACAATAAAATATATTACACTAAAAGCCTGTAAAAAGTTGTATAACTTGACAAGTAGCAGATTGCAAGATAGTTGATCAGTTATGAAGGGGATTTGGACCCCCTGGAACATCTCGTAGAGAAACTCCATAAATTGGGTGGACCTCCTTTGTGCTAGGTCCCTGTTGTGTCTTTGTATAGAAATGCCATGAGATTGAGAACTGCTGAGAAAAGTTGCTTTTTTCTGTTTGCTTGATTTCTTTACTCATCCATCTGCTGGCCTCGCAGCAACTTGAGAGCTGGCTAATCGTCAGTATAATCATTAAGATCAGAAGTGAGAGCCTTGAATATTGAACTGCCATCACTGCAGGCTTGTGAGTTGAGACAGACTTAAAATGCCAATTAACACAGTAGTAAAGAGATGGGGCTCAACGTAGTTTATTTATGCAGGACGAGTTATAGTCCCTTTATATGAGATCAGCGAAGCGGTAGAGAAGATAGAGCCAAAACAAATTAATTTTAATGAAATGGCCAAACTGCCCATTGATCATAAATGGATTAGCTGTCAGGCCATTGTCTAAACTAGTTGACAAAACAGAACGAGGATTAAGCAGTTGTGCTTCTTTTGGCAGTTGTAGTGTTCACGTATTTGGATTCAGGTCATGTTGGAATTTCACTCTCATGATTCAGATAGCTTTGCGAATAGTTGGGAGTATACAATTAGATACTGCTGCATTAAACTTGAGCTTCTGATGAATGAAAGCTGAGCTTTTAAATTGTATTGTCCCAGAAAGGTAGAGTCTTCTTTGGTCCTTTTACTCTGGTGGAGTGCCAACTAAAAATACTGCTTAGAAAAAGGATGAGACCGTTGACTTTTCTATCAATTTAGAGTTTTGATAATTTAATTGTGTGATAATAATTGCGAAGACTTGTGCGTGCTTCCATATACACCGTGTGCCTGGATTAGAATGACAGGTAGTGCTGGTGCCCATTTTTCGATTCGAAATTTGTATTTCCTCATGTGTCCTGGCCTCTACTCTATTATTAGTGATAATCAGATGGATATTTAAGTATTTCTCAATTCGTGATGCCTTCTATAGGTTTCCTTAGTTACCTCTTTCAGTCAACGCCAAAATCATCGTATAGTTTTGATGCCAAGGCAGCTGTGTGGCTGCTCTTCCTCTTCAAAGTCACTTCATATTGTCAATTATAAACTGTTGAAGAATGGGGTCCCTGATAAGGAATCAAAAGATAATGGATTTTTGAATTCATTATCTCAAATTGTTTTACAGTAGATAGTACATTCTTACCAAGTTTTTTCATTGTGCAAGTTTTTTTTTACACTTGTTACGTTGAGAGTCCTTATCTGGTATTATCAATAGGCATCGTATTCATATGTAACTAAGAGCGTAGCAACTATTTTGCACATAAGGTTGTGGCTAAAACTACATGAATGGGACCCCAATTTGGCGCCTGTTCTAATTGACTGGACTTATTGGAGCTAGAATTTCAATTTGCATTAAATTAAAAATTATACAAACAAACAAACAAAATAATGAGTAAATTAAACTTGTGTCATTCTCAACCATCTGTTTCTTTGATGGGTGTATAAACCTGCACCGACTACTAGGAAGTTAGAATCAAGCCTAGCAGTGGTGCGCGTTATCTACATGTATTGAATATGTTCAAAGTTCATTGTAACATTTATAGATCACCTCTATTAATTATCAAGCGCTAAAGGTCACTACCTAATCAGAGGAAACTTGAGAGCCTCTTTCACGGGAAGGAACACGTATCGCAAATTTAGCGCGTATTTATTGGTTGCAGTTTTGAAGATCGTTAACAAAATCCAAACAGTATATAATTTATCACTTGCTTCTCTCCTATTTTGTACCATAATATTTAATAGGAGTACTTCAATTTTACGAGTTCTTTTTTATTTTAACTATATTTTTAATGCATTAATTATATAATGCGCGCTTAATGGGACTGAACAACTGCATCAAAAGAAAATGAAAATAAAAGGGTGAGAACAAGAGTTTCGTCCAAACAATTTTTGGTCGTGCAATAGATCCAAGATGAAGAACTTATTTTATTTGTTAATCGAAAAACAAGTAGGCAATTACGATAGATTCGAATCAATAGTCAGTTTCTTTTTTATTTTTATTTTTTTAGGGTTATGAGGGAAAAGCAGTCAGTTTGATTATCTTGCTTAATTTGCGCGATATGAACGACTTAAATACTTGATATATACAAAATGCCATTTTATTTTTGTTAATTAGTTAGCCTTTCCCTGAAGCACCATGATCACATCTTAGACTACTTTTTAATGGCGCGCAGGTTGAATTCGATTGTGATTATGGTAAGCTGTTACATGTCTATTGTTGCGTCCTAATAGGATACCAATATGACTCGTGATTAACAAGGTGGACCCAAGATCGGTTTAATATGGCCGCGGTTATCTAGGTCAAGGTGTTTTCGTGTGGAACAATACAATGGCCACCATAACAGTGCTTGTAGGGATGCAGAACTAACGTCAAAACAGATTATTTAACATTCTTTTTCTGTCATTGATGTGGACAATCTCTATTTAGAAGAAAACTACCTCACACTCGGGTAATGTGTGAAACAACGAAATATCTTATGAATTCTACGGTGCTTTTAAATACAAATAAAATATTATAATTTAAATTATAAAATACTTAATAAATTCATTTAAGTGGTTTAAGATTATTTTTATACACAAAAATGTGTTTAAAATATTTAATTTTGTGAAATCCTAAAAATGAATTAGTTAATAAAATATTGTTTTACTAGTGATTTACAGAGATTTCATCATATTTAGTGTTGAAATTTGAATATTAACTAATGAAACTAAGAAAAGTAAATCTTTGATTAATAATTAATTAAATGAAAAATATTTATTTGAAGTAAAAACGAGTTTAATAGTTATATATTAGCAATGTTAAATATTTTAACATAATAAAGTAATTATAATTCACTGTTAGTATGAATTTTTAATTATTTATTGTAAAAGACAACAGATAAATCATATGCAGTGTTTTGTGATTAAATTATATTATAAAACTAGATTAGACGTGATTAAATTATATTATAAGACTAGATTAGACTATTAGTGCATGACCTATTTTCTCAAACTTTAAATACATGTGATTGAGTAAAAGAGACTGAAGGTATGGTTGGTACAAATGAGGAAAGGGGAAGAGAGAGGCTAGAAAGCCTATTTGGTAAAGAAGGGCTGGAGAATGAGAAGTGGTTCTTGTCATGTTTGATTTATACGAAAAGATGAGAGATTTTAATAACTATTTTTCCTTTATATCTTTATAATTTTAACTTGAATAACATAAGAATGAATATTTTAAACAATAAATTCATTATTTTAAATTTCCTCTTCTCTCATCCAAATCTCTCAATATTAAAGAATTAAACTTAGATATGGAGAGATTTTGCTCTTTCCTTCTCCTAAAAATTGAACCAAACAACAAAAGTTAATTAAAAAAAAATCTTTTTTTTCCCTCCTTTTTCACTTCTCTCTAGCCGAATACTACGTATTGTTTATGTTAAAGATATCTTGCTCGATGAAGAATGCTAGCAATTCTAACAGTCCTTCTAACACTAAAATTTATCTTTTTCAATTAATTATAGCCGATTGAAGTGATAGAGAGATATTATATTCCTCGTAAACGAATGATCCCATTACAGGAGACTCGCTTATTGGGTAGAATTTGTTTTAAAACTGATAAATACAGTTAGAAAGTGAATCTCAACAAATGGGCTCACTAAAAATGCTCTTTTGTAAACTTTAAATGTAATATTTATTGCACAATTTACTATAAACATTGGTAAAATTTATCATTTACAGAAAATTATTAAAAGTGTTAGTTTGTCAAAACTTAATCCTGATATTAATGGTAAGTTCAATAACCCATCGTAGTAATGCATCGAGAAATATTTTTCTAGCAACATATTAGAACCTATCTGCAGCAGTACAGGAAAGAACTGTATATATTTATTTTGAAAATAGAATCTTAGTTTAGATCAAATGCATGTAATAATATTATCAATGCTTTGAGTTTCATGTGCAAAAAACTCTTCACATCCTCTCGCCAGCTAGCCACTTGCTATTCATAACTTGTTTTTTTGACAGACTTGCTATTCAGACCCATGTCAGTTCATTGTAAAACAAAATAGTGTTCAATCTTTAAATACGATAATGTTTTAGCAAGATGTCCATCCAAAATGAATATCTGTGAGACGTATTTAACGCCCTCAAATGTTAGAAGCAGTTTTAAATTTTAATGCAAGACAAATCATTCTATTCCACAATCGTGCACCAAACGCTCTCAAGAACTTAATATCTGTGATTTGCATGCTTGATCAACATCAAACATTCATCTGTACCAGAAGACATGCAATTTCATTTCCAATAAACATAAAATCACGTTTTCTATTTTCTTTTCTATATTCTAAATTAAGCCAGTCGTCAATAGATGACGATATTGCTATAGTTCCTGGGTGTTACACATTGCTTACTACAATTAAATACAGGATTTAAGCGCTAACAATTGAGTAATCATGAAAAAAGAATTCAAAGACCTAGCAAAATCAAAATCGAGTATGTTTCCCTTCTCCACACTTCCTTGTCCCATGCATGCTTGCATCTCCTCATTATACCTATGTGTGCTAACTGCTGACTCATTATCTACGAATTCTAATGCCAGGAATGTCTTTCAAACCCATTTTTAATGCAGTTTTTCGGAAGAGAGCAGGAGGCCTTTGCAAACCAATTGATTCAGAAAATCGGTTTGCCAGCTCAGCTATAGTTGTCTTTTCCCTTCCAATTTCCCTAATGGAATTATAATAACCAAGCCAAGCATGATAAGCTGCTTCTTTGATGTCATTATCAATCTTTGCCATTGAGTTCTCAATCTGCAAGGATCATAGACAACAATTGTAGGTAACTAACTATGTATATCCTGGATAGCAGCCGTAGCAAAGCCATGCACAAGCACAACATAAACGTGGTAAATCTATGCAACCTTTACATTCTTTCTCTACAATTATATATGCCAGGACATGAGAAGAATTTTGAGGATCAAAATATCTATATACACCATATAAATCAAATTTTGTAGACATTAGAACGGCAAGAAATTATGTACCTTAAGCTTTGCTTGTGGATCTACATCTGGTAAGGGGAATTTCTGTAGAGGTAGATTCTTGATTTCATTTAAAAAATACTCTTCCCATGGAGCAATCAACAATATGCCATCCCCTTCTTTGCCTTCCCGACCTGTTCTTCCAAGACGATGTATGTATTGTTCACGGTCATCAGGAATTCCTACCTGGATTCCACAACAGATACGATTAATAAAAAGTGTAGTCCCCATTATAACCACCTGGATTCAACACAAACGTTTGGTGCATGGGGCAAATAAGTAGTTCTTGATAGAATTATTGGCTTAAAATCCACCTTTTACATGATACTTTCAGCAAGAAACAATTCCCAGTCTCGTAAGGAACTTTGTTTCACTAGTACTTATTTACCATCATCACAAACAAACAAAAAGTAGAAAGAAAATTTTCAACACATTTCATGTACAGAAAAATATAAGTGGAACTGAGGAAGCACATTAAAGATGTAAGATACCTGTAGGACTAAGGTAACATCAGGATAATTCATTCCCCGTGATGAAACATCAGACGAGACAAGAATCAATTGTTTGGATTCCCTAAACTCATCTGATATACGAGTTCGATAGAGCTGAGGTTTACGGGAATGTATCTCCCTAACATTCATTTTCATTTCCCGAAGAAGGTTATACACAAGTGATGTGACCATCCCAGTTATACAGAATACAATAACCTGAATGCAAATCTACTGGTCAGAACCATAAATTATACAACAAAGCAATTTGAACTCTGAAACAGCAAATGTATTAACCTTATAATCTGGTGTTTGCATGATATGCTCCTTCAGAATATGGTGCACTAATTGTAAATGTGACTCATGAGGAGCAATAAGATAAGATTGCTTCACCTGTGACACAGCAAACCAGAATAAGCATTAATGCATCTCACTGGAAAATTTTGATACATTCATTAAAACACAAACAGTTTAGAAAAATGTACAAGAATTATAAGAATAACAACCCTGCAAGAAAAAATGTATAGCCGATGGCTCAAGAAGTCAATTGAATATGTATTTTACTTTTGCAACTTAAAAGAGTATGACAATAGTTACGGTAACTTGCCTCAACAGGAGTTTCTACACAACCCATTCCAACTGTATCAACATATTTGTGTTCCCTTTTCAAAACAAGCTGAGATACGCGACGGACCTGAATATTATTTAAGAATCAGTAACACTGTTGACAGAATAGAGAACTGGAGGTTAAAAATTAAATATAAAAATAAAAACCTAACCTAACCTCCTTTGGTATGGTTGCAGAAAACAATAAAGATTGCCTTTGACGGGGCAAACAATCAACAATTTTTTCTACATCCTTTCTAAATCCCAGGTCTAGTAAATGATCAGCTTCATCAAGTACAAGCATCTGCAAGCCCATTAACCGCAGAGATATTCCAGACTTATTCTCAATATGATCCAGCAACCTACCAGGTGTAGCAACAAGTATCTGCAAAAATTGACACAAGAAATACAGTAAACATTATGTTTCTACTTTGGGCAATCATTTTAAATTTTGATCCAAAAAATCAGTAACATCTATTATTTTTCTTTCATTTTTCCTCTTCCCCCCTTCCCTTGCCCACCAAAGAAACACTTTACACTTGGCCTGAAGCCACATGGTGGAGACAAATATTTTTATCTATTACACAACCTGGCATGGATCTGATTCAAGGCGTTTTTGGTCAACTTTAAATCTTATGCCTCCAACAAGAGTCTGCACCCCAATGCCATCGTGATATTTCAGCAAAACCTTTGCTACAGCGGCAATTTGACTAGCAAGTTCTCTGGTAGGGCAGAGAATAAGAACATATATTGGAGGCACCCGTTGAGGCTTATTGTTACTCATAGCTTTCAGAACTGTTTCAATAGCAGGAAGCTGTTTGCACTCAACATCATTGATAGAAAACAAATTCAAAACAGGATGAAAGTGTGTTAAAAGAACATAAAAGAACTAGGGTGTACCAAAAAAGCAACACTTTTTCCTGTGCCAGTTTTAGCTTTGACTGAAGCATCCATGCCTGTAATGTAACATAACTAAAAACATCATGAAAATCAAATTCAACAGTTATCTTAGACTAATAGCAGAACAGCAATAACAAGCAAAAGTACTATAAGGCATCAACTTTTGTAAGATTAACTAACACCTAACAAGTGATAACATAAAAAAAAAAAACCTAAGTTGTGGAAATCCAATGAAAGAAAGAGGCAAACATACCCTCAAGGCAAATAGGGAGGCTAGCCTCTTGTACCCGTGTCATATGAACATAACCAGCTGAAGAAAGTGCCTTGACCGTTAGCGGTGAGATACCACACTCATCAAATCTACAAAAACAAAACAACTAAATCACCATTTGCAACACTGCTGTTACACAAAATATCCAAGCATGCACATCCATCCTAGGTTTTACAAAAAAAAAAAAAAAAAAAAATCCGATTTCTGCCCCAACATCAAGGTTTTTGGGGTCTCCACAACCACAATTGTAATATCACATTCATCCATAACTTCCGGCAATATCAAGAATCATAAAACCACGACCCCAATTTAAAACCTTGTATCCGTCCATCCATACCCTTTATAATTTTCATCACCACCCTCCCAAAAGCCTATAAGTGAATGGCGAATCCATTTCCTACTGCAAGCCTTAAAAAAGAGAATCCATGTTAGTGAAGGAATACCTCGTGTCGCTGAGGATGCTTTCATTGCTTTGTTGCTCCTCACCCTGTTGGTCCTCAATCTTGCTCAACTTCCTCTTAAAAAGCTCATACTTAATAAACTCAACCTCTTGAGATGGCTTGGGCACAACCCTCCTCTCTCTCTTGACATCATACTCCCCCAAGGAAGCACTGCCACCCATCTTCGAACCGAATTCCACCTCACCCTCACTCTCACTCTCGCTCTCAGTGGAGGAATCATCACTACCCTTTCGCCAAAACCTAAACTTTGGACCCCCAACACGCTTGTTCCCGTTCCCAACCTCGGGAACAGAGCAGTAACCCCTGGAATGCTTGGTGGGGACACCGAGGTTCGGAGTCGGGGTGAGGGGGCCGTCGCGGTCGTTCCAGAGGTCTTGGGCGCCGTGCCTGAGGAAGCGGTCGGCGAGGGCCTTCACTTGGTCGGTGGGGGAGAGGGGGCGGTGGGTGGCGGCGGCGGCGGAGCGGTGGTCGGGGGAGAGGGCGGAGCGGATGTGGGAGCGGATGCGAGCCTCGTAGAGCTGCTTCTCTTGCTGGATGAGACGCTTCTGTTTGTCTCTGGCGAGCTTCTCGTGCATGCGCTTCCACTTCCACTTGTTCACGCCGCCGGGGAAGGTGCGAGGACCGCCGCCCATGCTGCGGACCGCCACCCATTTCCAGCTGCACACCGCCTCCCGCGCTGCACTGCTCCCTTCTCCGAGCATCCAACCCCACATTGCTCTTCCAAGACAAGGGTTTTACAAATTACTAGGAGACTATATTAACGTCATTCAATAATAATAATTCATAACACCATTTTTAGTTTTTCTTTTCCCCAAATTGTGTTTAGTGAGATTGCACACATTACGCATCTGTCACATTATTCGTGTTATGTTATTTAATTTACATCAACTTACTATGTAAGGTGATATTGCAATATTTGTTATAGATCTCATATTGATCGGTAACATGAATTAAATGGTATATATAGAAAGAAGTTTAAGAGAGATTATTATAACATCTCATTTCAACTTCTTTATTATATAATTTTTTTTTTTGAAAAAAGTATTATATATTTTCATTTAAAACTGATTTATTTCATAAAATTAACATTTTTGCTATATTTGAATAGAATTAAACATCTTTTTCAGCTTACTTAAACAAAATTTCATTTTAATTACAATTGATTATAATAATAATAATCAATTATTAAAATAATGTAATTTTTAACATTTTTCTAACATTACAACCTTTCAACTTTGAGACCGTGCTTAGTGCAAATAAAAAATATCAGCGCAATAAAATGATAAAGATAGTAGTATTAACAAAACCTGAATGTGTAGCTTGTAGATATTGCTAAACATTTTCATGTCATCGTAATCGTAAGTTTGCTAATTTTGGATTTTCTATTCACATCAAATCAAATAATGACATTAAAGATATTAACAATTCAAGTCATGATGTTCACAAAGATTACACAACTCATCACCTAGAGGTCCCATAAACCACAATCCAGTTAGCCCCCACACATTGATCTCCTCTTCAATAATTTCAAAAACATTTGATGATGGGTGCCTTCAAGCTTTAGAATGGTTCCTGGCAGCATTTCGTCTTGCACAGCATCCCACAAAGTATATAATCGACTGGCATTGCACAAAACAAAGTTACATAGAATCAAGGCATCAATAACCTTAACAAATTCTTTTAACATGTTTGTTGTTTAAAATCTCAATTATTCATTGAAAAACAAGGGTGGATTGAACACCTTATTTGATTGTTGTAATCTTAGAAAAGGAAAAGAATGTTTGTCTTACCAAGACAACGAATAGAACAACATTAAATATTGCAACAACTCTCCACTCGGTTTTCATGTATTGTGCCACACCAGCCCTGGAATCAAGATCGAGGTAAAAACAATCATTGGCAGTGAAACAATTTCCTCATTTACAAAAACAGAAATGGAGCATGTGCATGTGCATGCTTACTTGCAAGAGTCACAATCATAGCATTTGATGGCCCGAGAATTTTTGTACCGTTTGCAGTCATTGTTTTGACTTACTGGATGAAATGTCAAGTCATAGTAGGATGCATTTACAGCAGGATATCCACATCTAAGTCACATTAAAACCGCAACTTAAAACAATATCATATAGGTGCACTGATTTTCTTATCTGAAAAAATAAACTATAATACTCTATTGAAATGCATTTTTGAATAACTATTATAAGACCTGATTGAATAAATTTCTCTAAAAACACTTTTAGAAGAAAAAAACAAAAAAGAAAAGTGAAATAAGCTTCTTCATAAACTAATATTAACTTATACATAAGTTATAAATAAGTTTTTAGAAAAGTTAATATGAGAGAATTTCTTCAAATTAGCTTATGTATAAGCTACGTAAAAATTTATTTTATTTTTTAAAAGTGTTTATTCAAATAAACTCAACTTATAAAGAAAGAGCCCGAGAACTGAACCTACTGGGAAGGTGGTCGACAGCAGCCAGCCTCAATTGGCGTCAATTTAGCTGATTTATATTGTTTAAGAGTCTGCATAATAGGAAGATAGGAAAGTGTTGTGTGTAGAAGATAAGAAAATTAAATTCAGTAGAATAGTATAGGCCACACACCTTGTATTTTTTGGATAGGTTATTGCAGTCATCAGATTTGACTAGACAAACCTTCAATCTCTCCCAGTTATGAGAATTGTTTAACTAAAAGAACAAAGAAAAACATCAAGCTAGTGGATGTCAAAATGTTATTGTGCACCAACAGTTCTCTTTGTCTGACAAGAGTGTTACCTCTTTATGAAACCAAGAACTAAAATCTTGAAGTTGATACTCCTTGTACCTAAGCAGACAAGAAGCTGTCATCACACCATGTTGTCAAGAACTAGAATAAGAAAAAAGCATTAACTACTCATTCATTCCTCTTATAGTCAAGTAGTCATCTGCAGTGTGTGAGCCACCGTAAATATCATAAATCCACACCGACACCGCTTCAAATATGAAGGACCACTGTAATGTCTACATGACTACATAAATGAAATACTTGACTACTTAGTCCTTACCTCAAGCCAGTCACACTGTGACCTGATCCATTATTAGTCACGATGAACCTGACACAATGGCAGAAGATTACATAAGATCCAAATGAATATCCAAAATCAAAGAAATTGATTATTGATTGGATATCAATATTAATTTGACAAAACATAAATTCACCTCTTTTTCTAATATGCCAACATAGATATTAAAACAAAAAATAAAATAAGGGCATATATTTTCATGCCTAATTCATCACTGTTCCTCCACAATCCACCACATAATAATTTATGACTTCAAGTCATGGGCACATTTTTCCTTTGCATCGAAGGTAAATAACTAAGAAAATCAATTTGGAATTTAGATAGCATGAGGTGGTACTCATTGACAACCAAACACAAGGAAGCAGTGAAGCACACTAAAGATGAATAAATAGTTTTGAAACGTGACTCATTGAGAGGAACAAACCAGGGAGGATATCCATCTTAAAATATCAAATCATCAGGAATTCAGGAGACATAGCTGCTAGAGCAACAGTTTTTTAACTCGCCATGTCTTTAATGCATGTTCTAATGCATTTCAGTTATAAAAATTCAGTCAACATACCTTATTTAAAATCAAAATATTATAATCTATAGTTTTCACAGTTTCTTATTCAAAACCAGTAATTGAAAATGATACTGATAAAAAATATCTAATAAATTATACATAATAAACTCTTGCTGTTAAAACACCAAATAAGGACTCGTTTTGCATATCAGTACCAATACCATGGACTGCCAAGCTAGCAAATTCAATAAACAGAGCAGCCACATCAACTCCTAATTGGCTTAATGAACAGACCAACAAACTCTCCCAGACTTCTTTTTACAACCAGTATATTAGACTCTAAACATAAACATGGCAGAGACAGATTGTATTTACAAAAAAAAAAAAAAAAAAAAACTATACAATTCACACTGTCAAACAATCTGCATACTTACACCAATACTGTGAAGACCAGGATTCCCACCAAGACAAAGAACAGTGCGATCAGATACTGCAAGTATAATGTCAAGGATGATACAATCCAAAATTTCTTTCTTTCTTTCTTTATCAGATGTAAACATATTAAAAATAATGTATGTAATAAGGAATAAGGATACAACCCATAACAATATGGAGATGTTTTTCAGAGCACCCAAAAAGCCAACTACAGATCTGTACAACACAGAAACATGGTAGAAGGCAATGTACTAGCCGAAAATATTGAAGAAAAAAACGGCATCTAAATCATAAAGAATGCAAAGCTGACATTAAGAAAATAACTGCTCCGAGGCCTATCACAGGCAGAGTGAGAGACTTTCGGCAGCCATCATGATGAGTGCTCATCCATACTCCAAAAATTATCACAGCAATGGCCAAAAGCTGCACAAGGAGATCATGGAAACAACATCAACAATCACAAAATTCAAAAATAAAAAGAAAAAAAAAACATCATAATGTCTTATTTTGTTCTCACTTTTGGTTTTAAAATCTGGTTTCTACAACATTTCCACATTATTCAGCAATCAATTTCTTAGCTAAAATCTATTAAGTTATGAAATTTTTTTAGCGAAATAAGTTTTCAAAAACCAAAAAACAGAAACAATGGGAGATGTTTTCTCATCTTTTGTTTTCATCTTACTCAACCTCTCCCTCAATTCCAACTTTGCTTTGTGCGTTGCCTCATCGGTTATCTAAACCTTGTTTATTTGCATTTTGAAAACAAAAAAGCATTTTTTGAAAATAGAAATCAAACACACCCATGAGTCCCGATTCTTATCTTCTGTTTTTATTTATTTATTTATTTTATCTTATTCAAACTCTCCATCAATTTCACACGCTACTTTGTGGCTTGCGCCACCTTCCACAAGTAGTACGAGCAACATTGTTTAGCTGCATTTTGAAAACTAAAAACAGTTTTTTTTTTAAATAGAAAGCAAACACACCCCGAGTCCCAGTTCTTATCTTCTGTTTTCCATCTTTAGTACACAATAACCATCCAGAAAGGAAGTGATGACTGATAACAAGCAAAGTTGGCAACTAAAAATCGTATCTTTGAAACATTTTCAAGTGAAAACTAAAGTGGGGTACGCAAGAACAATAGCCAAAAACACGTGAAGTGAACACAAGACATTAGAAAAAGTAAAAGTAAGACGAAAATGACACCAACCAAAAAACCCAAAGATAGAAGAAGAAAAATAAATGAACTGAAAAACCCAAAATTGAAAGAAAAAAAAAAGTAGAAAGCAAACAGCATTACCATGGTGAGAAAGTTGATCCATCTAGTAACAAAGGTGCTAGTTCCTACTCCCATTTTGTTCAGAAGAGGGAAAACTTGAAGTTGAAATGTCTGAATATTCTGTGTTCAACTTTAAATGTTAAATTTATTCGAAAGAATAGCGTTTTGTTTGTAGCAGTTCTGGAAATAAAGACGGTTACTAAAAGGGAAGCGAATGGAATGAAGATATGCGATGAGGATTAAGGAAGGAGATGGGGGTGCATTGTGTGCGATGAAGATGCGTTGCACGCTGTACGCTACGAAATCCAACACCTTACGACACGATACCCGATGCTACGTACACTATTATAGAAAGCTGTCATTTAAAATTAAAATAAAATAAAAATGAAAATGAGGTGTCTTTAGTTATGGAGAATGCAAACCAGGGTCCAACTTGTGGTCACACACATTCCCAGTACAACGTTAACCCACTTTTCTCGTTATGTTGGTGACACTTTAAGCTGATCCTAAGATTTAACGCGGCTGCATACACAAGGCAGGATTCGAATGTCTGATCCTGACATTTGGGTGCTACAACGTTAACCCACTTTGCTCGTTATGTTGGTGACACTTTAACCGGATCCTAAGATTTAACGCGGCTGCATACACAAGGCAGGATTCGAATTCCTGATCCTGACATTTGGGTTCTACAACGTTAACCCATGGTGATGTTTAACCACAACAAAGTGTAAACGATTCATTATCTCATATTTTCCTTTTAAGACATAATTCAGTTTTGTTAGCTAGTATCGAAGTCATTGTTCTAAAGAGGATAATTTTGGACAGTAGTTAAAAATAATTTTTAAATCCCAATAATTGATCGAGTGAGTAAGACGGATAAGTAATATTACAATTTGAGTTCACTCATTTTATTTTATTTTTTGAAATAAGGGAAATATAAGTGGCTCTTAGGTATTGTTGTTTCTGTTTTTATTTTCCTTGAAAATAAAAATTTGTATGTTTTAATTTAAAAAAAATGTCTTTTTAAAATATTCTAAAAAAGGTTAAAAATTGAAAAAATAAAATAAAAACATAATTTCGCTTTCAAAGAAAATGAAATATGTGCGGTGAAAATACAGTGGCATGTAATGTAATTTCATAAGACTTTGTCTTTATTACACTTTAAGATGGTGTTTGATACATTTACTTGACAATCATAATTAATAAGAATCATTAATCTTGGAGTAATGATTCTTAAAAATAATTAAATTTCTTTAGTTAATTATAAATGATTTTAAAAATGTTTATAAATCTTACTTAAGAGTAAAATATTTTTATTGTATTAAATACAAAAATAAAGATAACATAACATTTTATTTTAACTCAGAAATCTTAAATTTTCATTTCCTCTCAAGAGTAGTGTTTTAAAACCCGGATCGACCCGGCCGGTCGGACCGAGAACCGGTGGTCCAGCCGATTCGAATATGAAGTTGGATCGGTTATGCAGTCGATCCGTTTCAAACCGGATTGAACCGGTCAATTTTTCGGTTCAACCGGTGAACCGGTGGGTCAAACCGATTCAACCACTTTTTTTTTTTTTAAAAAAAATTTTAAGGGACCATAAATCACAAAAATAATAATGAAAATTGAATCTCTTAATGAAAAAGCAATGAGTCTTATTAAATATAACAATGACTACTTGTTCTAATATATTTGTTTGCAATATATACAACTTAAATAACTTTTATAGTATATTATTAATTTTAAATTATATATTTAATAATGCAATATCTATGTAAATATTACATATATTATTTTGTGATATTAATTGCAAGCATATTATATATGTACATATTATTTATATTTTTAATTTGTATTAATATACCGTTTAACATGTAATTTTTTTATGTATTTTTTTACAAAATAAAAATAAAAATAATTTTAAATAAGATATATACAACTTAAATAACTTTTATAGTATATTATTAATTTTAAATTATATATTTAATAATGCAATATCTATGTAAATATTACATATATTATTTTGTGATATTAATTGCAAGCATATTATATATGTACATATTATTTATATTTTTAATTTATATTAATATACCGTTTAACATGTAATTTTTTTATGTATTTTTTTACAAAATAAAAATAAAAATAATTTTGAATAAGATAGAAAAATTAAAATTTAAAATAAGATATGAATTTATTAAAATTTATAAGTATAAAATATATTTAATATGAATACTTTTTAATAAAAATAAATAAAAATCGAGTCATGCAGTTCAACTAATGACCCACCGGTTCAATTTTTGACCCACTGACCCAGTACCTTAACCGGTTCGATGACCGGTCCGGTTTTTAAAACTATGTTCAAGAGAATAATTTTGTGAAAACATAGCTAGAAACCATTCCCAATAAATAATTCTTAATTCCTAGAAAATTAAACACCAAAAATGTAGAAAATTGACTTTTCCAATATTGGTTTCCTAGAAATATATATATAAAAAATATATGCATCAAACACCTCCTAAAAGATAAATTTGTTAATTAAAAATTAATAAATGTTATAATTAATTATATATTTTATCTCATATAAATTTGATTTTATTACAATTTTTGATAATTAATTTTCTAATCAATAATTATGATTTCTTACTTATTATCTTTCGGATAATGTAAGTAATATTATACCTATTTTATTATTTTAACTAAACTTAGGTAATGAAAAATTTCTCGCATTAAATTCATATTATTTGATATGATGCACATATTTTTATAATAATAAAAAATTATGGTATTAACATTTTAATTTTTTTTATTACTATATGAATGATGTAAAATATACTCTGACTTTGTTGATGACTAATATTAAAAAAATCTGGGTTGAATACTATCCGTAGGTCTCTTCCAATTTTTTAAATTGTTAAATATGTCTATTTATAAGTAATTTTTACCTGAAAAACTCGTTACTAAATTCAAAGAATAGCAATAACTTCTTGTTTTTTTTTTTTTAATCTTTTATGGTGGTCCCAAAATTTTTTTAGGGTTCAATGTTCACGATTTCACGTATTGATACAAAGCGAGTGGAAGGAAAATAAAACTTCATAATTTGGTTCCAATATTTGATAACTTTTACTCAAGTTTTTTATATGACTAAAATTATAAATTAGTTCTTGTACTTTTTCAAAGTTGTTGAATTTGGTTAGTCAAATAAAATTTTTAATTCTTTTATTTGTTGCTTTTAATGTGACAAAAACTAGTTTCTATTCATATCCACACAAAAAAAATTGCCTAAAATAGAAGCAATGCAAATGTTAGAACTCATGGAGAAGATAATGGAGGACAAGACAGAGCAATACTTGTAGAAGAGAAAGTGAAAATGTTTAAAATAGATAAGGAGCTGCCAGGAGAGTGGGGAAAAAGGAATAGAGGTGTAAAGAAATGGATCAAACAGAAATTTCACAAAGAAAAATAAATGAGTCGGAATTTCGAAAACGAAGTGGGTAAAAATCATGAGTCAGTCCATTTTGCTACTCAATGGTCATTGCTCTCAATTGGGCCTTACAAGAAATAATCCTAAGTAAATCCATTCTAATCAAAATTATAATACCCTGCATCATCATTTAAATAGGGTTAAATTGAGTCAATTCATTTTCTTGTATCTAGTAGCTTGTGAGCTTAAAGTGAACTGAACTCAAGCTCACAAAATGAGCATTTCTTTGCTAAGTTCAAGCTAGAGCCATGCTAGCACATTGTTAGCCTTAGTTTTAAGTCTTAACGCGTGTAAATTACCAAAAGTGATTTACTATATGCAATGGTTGTCCAGGAATGGTATCAATCTGTTTAATAAACTAATTTAACCAACCTCGATTATCAACAATTTTTCAAGTGCTCGCGGTGCACAAAAACAAGAAATGGCATCACTTGACCCAAGAGAAAGGATTCGTGTTATTTTTACATGTCCTTCATATGTAACCCCTCCCTCTAACGCCCAATACCTCCCCCCTCAAAAGGTAGAAATATGCCTTTATTATATTGCTTTTTTACAACAAAGAAAATTTTGATCCTCCCAATCCTCTTGTCTAAATTAACTTGAAATGCTCCTTAAATTGCAGCCTGCACTTCCCGAACGAATGTACAATCACCAAAACGCAAGCAACAAAAGGCTTACCGTCACAATCCACAATTATTCCACTCTGTTTGCACATGTCATAACAGCTGATTTCATCCTTTCTTTATCTAAGGAAGTTTCAACTATCACCTGCCCAACATGATTTAGTGATCAGGGTTAGATTATACTATGAATGAGTATAACAATATGTGATTTCGACAAGTAATCCTCTACATTTAGACGAATAGGTATAAAAGAAAGAAAAAAAAATCAAAGAGCATATACAACAATAATACAAATATGCAAACCCACTGTTTGGTGAGACCATAGTTGGGTTGCATTTGAACATGATTTTGGTTCTCAAACCATGGTTTGAATGGAAGTGAAAAAGAAAGGTTACGTTGGTTTTCCATTGGGTCAAACCATGGTTTGCAAACTACAATACAATAGTGTATTCTATAGAACAATCAAAAGAAACTGTTTCAAGCTTTTACAATGGCACAAATGAGTAAATAGCAGGTAAGTGCGGAAATTATAAACCATGAAGGAAAATGACCTGTCCCAAAGCAATTTTATTAAGTATACATAACTTGCGAAAAATCATCTTGAATGGTTCAAGAAGAAAAGGATTATTAGTGGAAGGGAAGACATTTTTTGAATGATACCACAATTTGTCTACCTAGAAATTTAAACAGGATCTATAGCATTACCTGGGTTACCTAGAAAGTAAAACAGAATCTATAGCATTACCTCTTGTATTTTATTTCCAGATCGAGCAAGTAACTTATACTGATTCTCAAAGATGGATGCCATATAAACCTGGAACAAAGTTGGTTTCCATACAGATGAATCAAAAACTTGGTTTACCAATAATTATTAAATTGTGCACGCGAAACAAATGATAAACCAAAATAAAATTGATAAACAAGAGGTTTGGGAGAACTTAGTTTGTCGGTGTATATAGGAATGTCTAGTAAACAAGCAGTGGTTGCTCAAAACAAGAACAAGTAATCACATAATCAAAGGAAAATGAAAATGGAAACCAAACGGGATTTTTTTGACAACAATTTTCTAGCTGAATTGTAGTCAGCATTATTACATTTTCAACTAAAAATGTTATAAGAAAGTCGTAAGAAAATTCTCTGAAAGCTGATTAGTTCGAACCCTGATTAGCCTTTCACAAACAATATGAAAAATCTATAATGCATAATATATTGCTGACTTATAGGGAGTTCTGACAGAACAAATAATGAGCTAATACTCATTCAAGCAAATACTAAAGAACATTATGCAGAGGTTGAATAAACGTGTACATACCTGAAAAGTTGGAGCTAAACCAGGGCTTCTGAAAAAACGGCCTTTTGAAACAGACTGGACTCCCTCAATCTTTTGCAATTCTTCGATAAGAGATTCTACTTCAGACCACTGTCCAAAAATGAGCATAATTTGATGATTAGTCATGTCAAACCAATAATCCAACCGGACAATAAAATAAATTTAACATACTTATTGATGATCCATTGTATGGAAAGAAGAATTCTTTCTCTGCCACATCATAAATTGAAATATAAATCCAGCGAATGATTGGAATGAAAATATTAGGCAATGACAGGAAAGCAGGCATAACCAATTGGCCAATGGATTTATCATCGGGTAGAAAATAATGCTATAGAACATAACTTGCGATAACTCAATCTAGACATTGAAACCTTGCACACTCTGAAATCAAAAATAAAACTACAGTCTGCTTGATTGATTCAATTTGAAAGTCATAAGAGAAAGTTTCTATGCATTTTTCTTGCTCGCGTACCAGCATGGAACCTAGTCTATACAAATATTCTCATTTTGCCTGATCAGGACCAAAACTCAAGGCAAAATGGGTATGAGTCTCAGCACACCCCTGGTTAATGCAATACCCACCCATTATTACCGCCAAATCTCAAGGGAGTCAACTTTACCATTACTCCACATTCTTTAGTTGTAGTTTGAACTCCATTTGATTCTTATTCCCACATAAAGACTCACAAAATTATTATTACCATCAGCAGTAATGACCATATTCAGTCAGGCTGCTTGTTATTCAGTAATCTTCTCTACCAAGGTCAACCTACACTTCATCCTTCCAGATAAAAAATATTCACATACTGACCAGAAGTCCAGAACACAAACAGTGGCATAAAGTAAAAATTCATAGGGAGATTTATATACACTATAATATCAACAATATTGAGAAATAAAGTCTAACAGCAATGCGATTATTCAATCAATATAATGGGCATATTTTTTTTATAATTTTTGCTGGTAATTAAAGTGACTTCTACTTTCTCAGATATAGATTACCTCTACATCTGCTTGAGCTGCTTCCAATCTCCCATCTAAAGGGTCATGATCCCCAACTATAGCCTCTAGGGCATTCATTAATGGATCAGGCTGTCATAAGAAAATAATAATTTGTTAAATCACATAGTGTATATACACTGCTTAATCTAAGTGGACTTTGTCAAAATAATCTCCACAATTCTCCCCTGATCAAAGGAAATACTAGAAAAAGTGAATAACAACATAGATAAATTACCATGACCTCCTTTAATGATAAAAATATGCGCTCAAGAGCAAAGTTTAATTGGTAAACTTTTGCCTCTAGAACCTGGAACAAAAAGTAAACTTAAAAATAAATATAAAGACTGCAAATATCATGGGTACTCAATCAATTCCATCTATTAAATATAAAAACACTCATGTAATTCATCCAATAACTTAAGCTTTTGAAATAGTTGGTTGGTGACATGGTATTAGAGCCTCTGCAATCACGTGGTCAAGAGTTCAATCATTGTTGCCATTATTTTGTTACATTTAAGTTAAATTTCAGAACAAGGTTGTTCAGAGATGTGCAATATGAACATGTTTCAAGCCTAAAGGGCTCTTGCATGCGGTGGGTTAAAGGTAAATATAAATGTCTGGTGCACTAGGAAAAATTACTGATATCAGAAGAGAATATACAAGTGAAATGAGAGAAATACAGGAAAGATTAAGTAGCAAAAATGAAAATAAACAAAATGATGATGAAGACTTGCAGGAAGCCTGGCCTGGTCCCTCCCTCTCAATTCTACTGTGCACTCTTTTCCTACCTCTACCATCCCCACCACTGTACTTTCACTGAACAACTTAAGCTTTTGGACAGTTTATTCATGACACCATCTATGTTGGAAGCATAAAAAATAGACATCAAAGTCACAAACATGGAAGAAAAACAAATCATAGAAAAAAAGTAAACAAATTGGTTGAGGCTCACATCATTATTAATTGTTTAGTTGTTGAAAATTATTCTTCACTTTATTAATTCATCACACTGTCGTGAAGGAAAATACCTGACCAATCTTAAAATACGATGTTGGGTTCAAAGTGGCATCCCATGATAATTCTGACTGATGTATTAATGCAGAAATTCCTTCAACCTACATTAATAACACACCAATATTTAGAATTTTTTTACCACCACTATGAAGTCTGAACTATGATTCCATGAAAGAGCAAAGGTATCCGGGTGCTTAGCTCAATACAGAGGACAAGCATAGGCTCAACAAGGCACTTCCACTAGAATAAATGATGTAAGCTAAATGTTTGTAAAACTGAATTCCATAATATTGACATCAAATGCTTTGAATACCTCAACAAAAATTCCAAAGTAAGCTATTTTCTGGACACGGCATTTCACTATATCCCCAACTTGAAGTCTAGACTGCAGTAAGAAACAGAAAACAAATCAGAAGACCACTTTATTGCATTCAATCAACATCACATGCTTCACTCTAATTCAAGAAAGTTTATTGTTACTAAAGTATTTACCATGAGATTTCTCTTTTTCTCAACTAATTCTTCCTTCTCTTTTGGTCTTAGAGAGAATATGAGCTTTCTAATTTTTCTGTCTGCCACTAACACATTTGCTTTAATTTTCTGCAAAACAAAGAATAGATAGATATATTAATATTTAGATTCAAACATGGTAAAACTTCAGTAATATATTTGGGCAGTGCATTTATGTTTTGAATACCAAACCTGCCCAATAAATGATGATAAGAACTTGATTTTCTCTTGGTCATAAATCCTTAGAAGATCTTCCAATTTCATATCTGGTGAAACTTTGTCTTCAACTTTACCATCAGTCTCCCTATATGAAGGAGAATCAGGAGAAAAATTCTTATTTTCAGCATCAAAACTTGTAATAGTGCCTGAGTTTTGCTTGTACTTTGATGGATCCAAGCCCTTCTGTTTTAACCATGACTCAAAAGCTAAGAACTTCCACTTGGAAGCAAGATTACGGTATGGCAGAAATCCTACCAAGGAACCAAAAGAAACCTGTAAAATGGTTTAATCGACTTCAGAAGGAATATTTTTTTTTATTTTTTATCAAAGACTAAGAAACTTATTTTATTTACAAATGAAAGTCCTTCATACCACTTTCTAAATACTTACAATGAAACCTTTGGTATTGCAGCTAACTAGTTCCACATATTCTCTATCTCTGGTCTTAATCAAATCTTCTGCCCTGGTCCAATCAGCATCTTCGCCTTCCTACAAAATTAAAGAGCACAAAGGTTAACATAAAATTGGTTAAATAAATAACAACTTGTATAATCCATGTAATCTTACCTGGAAATCTGACTCATCAGCAACATTCGCTAAGCTGTCATTGCTTGTGTTATCTCCAAGATTAAGGGAAGCATCCTCTTCTCCAACAAATTTCGAGGTTTGTTTCACAAATTGATCTAATCTATAAAAGAAATACATTCAAGTAATGAACTAAAACTGGAATTGCAGACATAAACTATAAAGTAAACCATAAAACTATTTTCACATACCTTTTTGGCTTTGCCTGTAACGAAGCTTCCACAGACAACTCCACACTAGAATCAACTGACTTTAAATCAGACAATTGACTCAAATCAGTAGGCTCCTCATGGAACTCCAGCTCTCTCTGCTCATGTTGCTCCAGTTCCTAATTAATCAAGCATAAAATTATTTAAAAACTAGCCTTCCTCACTAACTTCTAATCGCAAGTAGCAACATAGATTAGCACCTACATCATTTGGTACCACGGCCTTCACTTCTCGAAACTTCTCTTCTTCTTTTTCCGCAGTTGGTTTGTGCGGGCGTTCCAACAATGTAAAGCCACCAATTTCACCACCTGGCTCTTCATTCCACATCTCCAACTCACCATCATCCTTCCCCTGGTCATCCACACTAGAAGTAGGCTCTCGGATGGCATCGGTATTCTTGGGAACCATTGGCCCAGGCTTCCTCAACAGTGTCATGTCACTAAACTTCTCCTTAACTTGCTCATCCCCCATTTTCAGCGACAGGTTGGGCCTCATTCTCAACCCCGACAGCGTGCCCTCATCGCCATCCTCCTTAAACACGGTCGGCTTTCGGAGAATAACATTGGGAACACTGCTTTTCCCAGCACTCCCTTTGGTATATTCGGGTCTGACGGGTTTCTTAATCTCCAATGCAGGTTTTTTATCATCAGATTTGAATTGGAACCCCTTAACAGGAACAGGACGCACCAAACCAAGGTCATCCAATTTCCTTGATGGCTTCCCTCCTTCAAAGGGAACTTCCTCCACTTCCACAACTTTACCACGCCTCTTATAAAAGGCTTTCTCAATGTCAAGATAAGAAGCATCAGGGTTAGCCTTTCTTCCCATTATCTAAAACAAGTAACAAGAATCATGATAATGGTGTATGGAACCAATTAACAAGGGTTAGCCTTTCTTAACCAATTAACAACCATAATTAGTGTTATACCTTGGCAAGGGTGAGTTTGGGGTCCTCTCCGAGTAAGCGACCGAACTTGAGTTCCATGAGGTCGTAGCTGTCGAGCTTAGGGGGTTCTTCGTCTCCTTCTCGTGATCGTGAGGCGGAGACCTTGAGTCTCTGATTCAGAGAAATGGTTCTGTTTGATGAAAAGCAATGGAGCTGGGTGAAGAATGGTTTACCGGTGATAGGAAGAGACCCCATTTTCCTCTGAATTTCAGATATTATTATAATCAGAATTGAGAAGGGTTTGATTCTTAGTTGTCTTCTCAGAGTCACAGAGAGTAGAGAGTAGAGAGTAAGAAACTGGATAGCCAAGAATGGGGAACAGAACCAAAAGGGTTATCCCCATGGACCATAGTCACGTGCCTTCTACCCTCTTTTTTAAATCAATAATGAATAATTTTGTACAAAAACTCAAATTAAAACTCTCTTAATTCTATAACTTTTTATATTACATTCATTTTAAGCAATTTTGTATATTTTTGTTACAAAGGGACAGAAACATAAATAAGTGTTCAAGAGGCTAATTTGGCATCAAAGCTCGCACTGAATGTGATTATGAACAAGATAACACTCCCAATTACGATTGGACATTAATTCACGGGAGAAGAGAATTGAGTAATTAAATCAATATTTTAGTGTAATCTAAATCTAAATTATTGTATAACTAAAACAGCAGCCAACAAGATCAGTAATTTTTAAGTAAACAAGAGAGATAAGAAACAAGAAAGAAAAATTGTGAGTAAAAATAAATCCAAAACCCTACACACAAAAAATTGGATTTATGAAAAAGTTATAAAAATATGATGTATGAATAATATTTGCGACGTCCCCTTTGGAAACTTATGCTTTCTTGGAAACTTATGCTTTCCCTAGTATAATTTGTGTATACAGGTAGTAAAAATTATGTTTTTGTATTGAACTGTATATTTTTCTATAATTTGTTTGTTCAACTTTAAGAAATAGATTGAGAATATATTGAAATATATTATTTTATTTAATTTTTTGAACAACGATATTATGAAAACGATAATAAGCTGTCGAGATTCAATTCGGTACTCTATTTAATATGCAAGTATCAAACTACTTTTTTTAAAATGAGTTTGTAATGTTATACAATTTTTTTTGGGTTAATCATCTATACATGGCAGCGTAAAATTTTTTTACACGGATAACTAATCATATTTTTTAGTAGTTTCAGTTGCTTATTTAATAAAATAATAATAAAATAAAATAAGAGTTAATCATCCTTACACTGCTAGTGTAAGTGTAAAGTTTTTTACACTGATAATCAATCATATCTTTTAAAATTGCTTATTTTATTATTATTTCATTAAATAAGCAACTGACATGTCACTATTAAAAGATATGATTGGTTGTCAGTGTAAAAAAACTTTACATTAGCCGTGCATAGGTAATTAATTCATAAAATAATATAAAAGATATGATTGGTTGTCATTATAAAAGAACTTTATACCGGCAGTGTATGAATAATTAACTCTTTTTTTTTTATACCAAAAACAAAAGTATTTTCTCTCTTTATATTACATATTTCATTATAAACGTTAGACAAAGTAATAAAAGTTATAGGCTCGCAGAAATTACAAATTTAGTGAAAAAAAAAACTTTTATTGTTTATAATTTGTAACTTTTATTATTTAGTGTGTAATTTATTATTTATTGTGTTTTTTTTTGCTCAATTTGTAATTTTAAAAAGTTTAAAATAATCTTTTGATGGGTAACACCCATTTAAAAATCAATTATTATAAATAAAATAATCACTCATCCTTATGATTGAACACGTACGTGAATGTTATAAATCTCTTTATTAATGTTCAATTCTACACATAAAAAAATCACTCAATCTTAGTTCTTATTATACACTCTTATATATATCATTATTATTGTTATATTTTTTATAGATTTAATTTTATGGATTGATTCTTAAATAAATTCCTTTTTTTGTTATCATTCATAAGAATAGAACTTGGTATCCAAAATTGTGTGTGACTAAATAATTTGTTTAAACAAAAGAATTTCAATTTTTTTTTTAGGATTTTAGAAGTGGGACCTTGGTCTTGATATGACGTTCTTCTTTACAGAGTGCAAGATATAAGATGATTTTCATTTGGTAGTTAATTTCTGTAACATCAAGTGGACGCTAGTTATGGTAGTTAATCGGGTAAAGTGTATATATATAAATAAAAGAGAAAAGAGATTGGTATTGTAAGTCATGATGAATTCAGATAATAAAATTTTGTTGGTCTACTCTGATCTCTGTTGCTTAACACAGAGAAAGAAGTACATCGGAAATGAGTGGGGCATGCATGCATGCATGCACGTTGGCTTCATGAAGGCATCCACATGCCCAAACCAAAAGAACAAAAATGCTTAACCTCTATACTGTTTGCAAATTTAGTGGAACACAATTAAGAATAATACTATAAAAGCCCTTTTGTGGGAATATTTCCAAGGGACACAAGACCACACCACCCAGTGAATCAGTAACTTCCACGAACAAAATGTCCCGAATTAACGGGGTTGTATTGTAGCCAAAAAGATATACCAATGATGCAAAGACACACAACACAAGAGAAGGCCCTTTGCAGAATCAGTGTTCCTCCTCCTTCTCATGCTCATGCTCATGCTCATGCTCCTTCTCTTGCTCTTTCTCTTCCTCTTGCTCAGAGTGTTCCTCAGCTTGTTCAGCTTCCTTTTCAGTTGTTGCCTCTGCCTCTGATTCTGAAAGATCTTCCTCAGTTTTCTTCACAGCCTCTAGTTGTTCTTGTTGCTTCTGCTGCATTTCAGTACTCTTCTTCAGTGAAGCTTGCTTGGACAGATAACTGTAGCTGCCCTTCTCCTTGAACAGCTGAGAGAAGTGTGGCTTGCAGTAGAGATATCCATCAAGAGCAGCATAGGTTGAAGGGGTCAAGAAACATCCTCCATGTGCACATCTAAAGCATGATTTGTGGTAAAACTCACCTTCCACTGTCAACTACACAATCCAATTCACAAAATCACCAAACAAGTTAAACCATGCATGGGTGACAACCACAAAGAACTAATTTCATTTCTCTTTCAAACCTTTTCCAATGGATATACGGTTTTCTTGCATTTTGAACATTTCTCTTGTGTCCCAGAGAAGAAGGCAGAAAGTTTGCTTGGATTCTTAGTCTGTAGTTAATAAAACAAGTCATCAAACAATATAAACCCGAGAAATTATTTGATAGTCTAGTAGTACCAAGTATTACAACATGTTCATGATTCTAATCAATTTTCATGTGACATAAAATTGAGTAACTGAATTATTTTGACAAACATGTAAAAGGTGTATCGTTTGGGTAGAATGCATACCAGCTCGTTTGGGGGCTTTCCAACTGGTTGAAAATTATGAAACAAGATCATGATTAGCCTCAAAAAATATCACAAAACAACCTTTTATTCTAGTTTTGTGAAGAAGAGTAAAAAAAAAAGGGATCTTACAGGATTGGGATCTTCTAGGGTAGGAACCAGTTTCCCTGAAAAGCTGCTCATAGTGTACCTTGCAGTACAAGACTCCTTCGGCGGATGAGTAGTTGCTTATCTATTATGAAAAGCACATTAAGATTTAGTACATATTTGGGACTCTTTTTGACATTCGAATAAGAAATAAAATAAACAATATTTTGTTGATTCGACATTAAATATGATTTTTTTCACGTTGAATTAGAAATCAAACAGTCTTTGAAATAAGGCTCCAAATTTCACAATCAAAAACTAATCCTTCGATAATCAAACTTAATTTGTGTTAAATGGATGTGATTTTTACCATAACATGCATTTAGAATAATTGTTTAGGGGGTTAATTTCCTATGACAAATAATTTGTCATATGTGACAACTGACAAGATATTTAAATGATAAAGTTATCTATGTTATTGTAAATGTAAACAGAAATGAAAAAAAGTTATTGACGTACTGCGAGAAGGCCATTGCAATGGCTGCACCTGAAGCAATTCTTGTGATAAGTGGTCCCATCGGTGGTTACACCTTCGACGAAGTGAACAGTTTTATCACAAGCCTTGCATTTCTGTTGGGTCCCGCTGAATGCCATTTATTTTTTATGATATAATTTTTATTTTGTCTTTTTTCGTACTAGCTAGTCGAAATGTATTATCGACAACAGAATTTGCTTCTGTTGGGAATTGGAATTAAGCTAGCTAGCACGCAAGATATGGTGGTGAAGAGGATTCAGCTAAACACACCAAAGGAAATCTGATTCTGCTATCATTCTTCGACGCCCTTTTGTAGTTGTTGTCCCGTGCCAAAGGGCTGGAATGTGTGGAGAAGAACCTTTAATTTCTTTTGGACACTAATTCCCTTCTCTAAGTATAGGCCTCCAATTCTATTACGCATATGCATCTCTGACCAAATCCTTCACTAAATTTGTTCCTTCCAACTCTTAATTTAAGAGGGTTAAACAAAAATAATCTTTTCACCACAAAGGCAACAAATTTCATTCATTGATAGCCATAACTAACTTTTTTAACAAGACTAAATTTATCCAAGGTATTTTGGGTTTAAATTTTATAAACAAGAAAAAAATTGTAAAAGATCAAAATAAGAGATTTTTTAATTATTTTTTTATGGGAGATCAGTTATAAATAAAGAGAATAAATACTTCATATACTTATAATATGATAAATAAAAAATATAACATTTTTCTATAAATAAGATAAATATATGGATTGATTAGAAGAAATATTAATCATACCATATTTCCTAATTATGTTAAAGACATAATCTCCTTCTAGGCTTATTGGCTCAACTAATGGTTCTTCCTCTTTTCTTTTAATAAGGCTTTTCTTAATGATATTTTCTTATATATAGACTTACACGTACACAATAATATTTGACAAATGTAATATATATAATATAATATAAGTTTTTTTTTAGTTATACCAATTCATTCGATTAACCAGTGAGTTTTTGTTATATGCATTTAATATGCAAATATGAATGTGCGTCTCTTATTACAGATAAGCAACACATAAAATTTTAAACGTTTAACAACAAAAAAGAAAGGCAATGATAATTTGGTGTGAAAATCCTTTAACTGCCAAAGCATGGAAGGAATTTCCTGGGCGTATGGCCACGGGTACGAAGCTTGACAGCTTTCTCCTCTATTTCCAGAAATTCTTCCCCCTTGTAAGCTTCTATCATTGCCCTTTTTTCTTCTGCCGTACGATGAATTTCAGCCACTTTATTTTGCATTTTTTCAACACACTTGGCCTTGTTTCTGTCCAATTTCTCCTGTTAACACACAAAGGTTTCATGTAACATTAGGGTCATTCATATAACTGACGTCCAAAAAACACTCACATTGATGCATTAAGTGAAGACATTGTGACCTCAATTCTCTTGAGATTTGCCTCAGCAGATGCTTTCTTACTATTTTCCCACAATACAACTGCATTGTGCCTCTTATATGCCCTGTGTGACAGTTTCACATTTATCAAGCTTAGCACTCAAAATAGATAATGGAATTTAGCAAGTTATTATTTGGTAATAATAAAGCTCTTGGAATAGCAATGGTTTAAAACAAAGTTAACAAACTATGTGATTTTAAAATTTTTTTTTTAATTTACCTGTTCTCTGCTTTTGTCTTCTCACTTTCTTCCCATGCTTTAATTAAAGCCTGTTTTTTCTCTGATTCAACTCTTGCAAGCACAGCATCTGATGAAAACTATATATGGGTTACTTGCTTATCTCTTAAAATAGTTATACTTGACTAAATGCAGAAGTTTTAGAAAATAACCTCTGTCAACTGAATCCTTTGTATCCGTCCTAGTAAGAGTAGGAACTGCAACCTCAATAAGGAAACACAATCACACAATGGTTTGAGTAATTAGAGTCGCGTTACTGAAAGAAACGCATGCAAAATCATGGATGCCTTATCAATGTAATTTGAAATATAGATAACAAAAATCAGATGATTTGGAAGTCAAAAAAGTAAATTTAAATCCTCTTACAAGTAACTTTGAAAACTAAGGATTTGATTCTTAAAAAATAAGCGACTCATTTTAGAAAGTTAAGTAATTTTAGTTATTAATAAAAAATAAAATAAAAAACAGCCATCAATTTTAGTTATAGATTTTTTTTTTAAAAAATTATAGATGGGTTGAAATATTAATTATTAATTTTTCATCAATAATTATTAATTATTATTCTCCAAAATAATATGTTGGAGAGTAATTATATATATAGGACATGTGTCATGAGACCAATGGTTACCCAAATCCTAACTAATAAAAAAGACATTTGTTAACTTTAATATAAACCAATTAACATATGTTAAAAAATTATTAAATGGGTATTTGTAAATATAGATAAATTATTAAAATATAACTAAATTGCTTAAAAGCAAAACAAATTATTTTGGTGGATAATAATTGAATCTATCGAGTTATTCAATTATCAACATTCTTATAGGTAAATAATTGATTTTTTTTACTTAATATTTTGATTGAAGAGGGAAAAAAATGAGAGAGAGAGAGAGAGATAGTGTGTGACTTTGAGGGAGAGAAAAAACTATTTATTTGGTTGAAAAGTTTAAAAAAGATAAGAGAGAAAGAAAAATAAAACCACATTTATAGAAAGAAAAATAAAACCACATTTAGGATTGATCATTAGGCGGATTCAGATGGATCCAAACCTAAAAAATCTAATCTAACAAAAATAGAACTAAAAAAATTGACCTGTAACCAACCGTTAAATTTTTTATTTAGGTTAGATTCGGATTGGTTCAATTATGATTTGGGTTGAATGATTTACTTTAGATTGGGCCTATAATAAAATAGGTGGAATCAATTAATAAATTTTAAGCTTTGATATAT